TGAGGACGAAATAGCTCAGAAAGCTAAATGAAAATAACAATATGGACTGTAGCCAACTCTGGCTGTCAGCAAAAATGACTTTAAAAACTTAGCAAATGATGTAACTGGAAGAAATGTCACTGCCTTAAGGTCTTCTACCCAAAATATTCTGAGCAGAAAATCAAATACCTACAAAATGTAAACAGATGGGACATGAAACAGTGATCAGTGACTGAAATAATAACGAACTCTGACTACACTATATATATAAAACATAGAAATACCCCTGTATAGTCTTGGAGAATGCCAAGCGCTATTACATTATTGAAAATTAATTATTCAAATAAAATTGATATACATATCAGACTGGTCAGAAGATCGTATCAGAAAAGATGACTTTTCTGGATATAGCTGAAGTGATAAAACTATTTCAGTGACAATAAAAGGACAAAATGCAATAGTTTAACAATGGTCACCATATAATTTACAGTTAATTTTGAAACCTAATTAAAGCACAGCCGTTGTTCTTACTTTACCAAGAGGTTTAATACTGTAAATCCTTTAAGTCGATTAACAATTCTTTGAAGTTATGCAAATGTTTCATCAAAGACTTTGTAAGGTTGAAAGACTTTTGTGTGCTTCTTACATTTAAGTTTCTCAAAAAATGGAAGGACAAAAAATGGAAGGACAACATATTGTAAGCGATTGGAGATCAAATGTTCTATAAATTATGCTTGAATTATCTGATGTTACTTCTAAAAATTACAATTTATTTTAAATTATATATATTAAAATAAATTATACAGTAACACCCTTTGAACTCATATCATACGTTTATATGATAATCTTTGGAAATTTTTTTAGCGAAATAAGTTTTTAGAAGTATATAAGTGCTTTTTAGCAGCATTTTACAAGTACTTGCCGCAAATACCGTTTGTATATTAATTCAAGTAAGTGATAAGTGCTAATAAGTGTAATTTTAATGAATTAGTATTAAATAATTAGTAAATAGAAAGATGTTGCATAGGTGCATAATTTAAAATTTAATTTAACTTTTTAGCAATGCTAAAGTGTTCATAAAGTCATTTTATAGTGAATATATAAATAATAATTTTCATAAAAAAAAATACATAAGAAAGTATTTATAATAATAATAATTAAATAATTACTTTATACAAGATTCAATAACGTCTATACATGATAGCTAATTAGATCTCAAATCACATACTCTCTGATTGTTTGTCTGTGATCTGAACAAGGAAGAGAATGCTAGTTTGGGAGATCTTATTCTTGCCCAAAGTTAGCATGCCCTCATTACCTAATTGAAGTCTTCTATTAGCATCGTTAAGCAACATAAAAGATCAACCATGGTCGAAGTGGTCCGCTCTCTGGAAGTCAGTAACCCGTTTATTTTTTAGTGTTTTTCTACTCTCTCTGAAATTGTTGAGGCTACTATATCTAACAATATTTTAGTTCACAATGTACAAGTAACCAATTATACACAAAAACCACTCATAGATCATTACTTTAGTTATTTCTCATAATAAATTGCAATAAACAAATATCTTTAATCATTTTCATCTGGTAAAAAGTTGCTGTTCGTTTTGTAATCATATTGATAAGAGTTTTATAATTTTCGATATACAATTTATAAATGTGATAATATAATTTAAGCAATTTAAAAATAACAGTTGAAAATTTTTAATTATAGTCACGGTCCTTATGGTTTATCTAGTATTGCCATGTTTTTCATTATAATTTGTCCTTTGTTAGTAAAAAACCATCAGCAATTGAGAACAGGAAAAAACTCATATTACACTTAACTTAAGGGTCTTTTAAGTATGCTTTGTAAAACTGACTTTTATTATAACATATCCAATAAATGCAAATATACAATAACACATATATACTGTAATAGATAAATAATGTATTTACAATATTTTTTAACTTAAACTTTAATATTTAATAAGATAGAAACCAGGTTATAACATTTCGTTCAATTTATTATGTTAATACGAATTCAGTTGTAGACAAAATAGTTCAATTAAATATATACTATACATACTTGTCAGTATTTAGAAATAAAAAATGAATATAATTTCAAATTATATTTTTTTATATAAAATAAATATACTACAATTTAATTCAACTAATTTTTTATATATAAAAAAAATTTTCTTTTTTCTTGAACTAATATTCCAAACATTTTGATTTTATTCGCATAATTAAGATGCTCGAAAAACTATTCCGTTTATTCAACAATGAAAGTGACGGAAAATTTGTTCATACTCGTAGATACATATTTTCAGTATTTTTTTGGGCCCCAGGGCGATAAGGCTAATGCGCAACGAACGCTAACAGGAAAAACAAAATCTGTTTCCGTTGTCAATGACCGCAAGTGCTAGTCGTACAACATGTTTTTCTGCGGCGCCAGTATAAGAGCACGACTCGTTAAACAAAACATCACCCATCGACAGGGAAAGAAGCATAAACAACATATGGACCGCTGGACCATGCATGCACCGATGGACGCATAAATACTACGATATCGTTTGCTTCAGGTGAGCTTAGTTTGATATTTTGTGCTGGCAATGCGCGTCGGGTATCCTGTTCGTGCATAGATAAACAAAAACCAATATGGACGCCGTTGCAACCCATCAGTGGATACACTGAGAAGTATTGTTTTGCTATTGACCAAATTTGAACAATTTCACGTTAAAAATTCAAGCTCCATTAGAAGCGAACATGGCGTTTAGGGCTTCCATTTCCGGCTGCATACTAAACGCGCTCTTCTATGCACAATTAGATTGTTAACTAAAATTTTATAAATTCTAATTAAATTGGCTTTGCAATGACTACACATTTTAAAATTCAAAAACTTTTTTGAAAATATTTGACATTTATTATTTCGATGGAAAACGTAGTCTTTTATTTTATAAACATCGTTGAAACTTTTCCGGTTAATTACACTTTAGTTGAAATTTATGAATGTTCGAAAGTTTTATTATACTAACAACCAATTGAAATATTTATCTAACGACTAAAAATATTTTAATATTTTTATTTAATTGTATTTAAAGTAACTAAAAATGCTTTCTTTTTTGCACGTTTAACTAATCCTTTGACATATTAATATACGAATATGTTATTAATAACTCCGAACTAACATGGAGGTGTAGAAAATTTATATAAAATTATTTTTTCTTCTTAATATAACATTGCTTTTCTTTTTCTTGGTGAAATTCATATCAAAATATATACATGTATTATTACAGCTAATGCCTTAAATTAGATTTTTCTAAGAATTTCAGTATGATATATAAATAGGTAATAGATGAAGTAAGGTCACACATTCATTATATCAATCAGATTCATCCTCTTTAATATCGTCAGCAAGTTTCAGGGTTTTACAAGCGCAGAAACTTCATTATTTATATAAAATGCAGTTGTTTTATATCAAAATTCCAATTGTGAACTAAAATTTACAATGTAACATATATACATAATCACATTTTCCAATTGCATATGAAAATATATTACTGTTATACTCTTTTTATTTTTTCCTTCATAAATGAAATTTGTAAATCCCCATGCAAGACAGTATTTCTGTTCCTTAGAGCTATCATTATTATGCACTTAATTTTGAAGTCATTATCTTATATATAAAAATCTCGTGTCACGGTGTTTGTGTTTAAACTCCACCGAAACGGCTTGACCAATTGTCATGAAATTTTTTGTGTATATTTGGTAGGTATGAGAATAGGCCGTAAAGTATATTTCATACCGCTAAAGTGATTAGCAAAAATATCTTTATTGCTTTAACAAAAATTTTTTTATTTTTTTGACAAATTTTTTTATTATTTTTGAAAAAGAAAAATTTTTTTTCATTATTTTATGTAACTACGCCAACAAGTACATCGAGCATTTACATCCACTTCGTTTCTTCGTCTTGCGTTCAAGTACGAGCCAGGTATTCAATATTCCGCACACCCGAAAATGATGATTGGTTCTATGGACAAAGAATGCCCTTATTGTCATGCACTCAAATTCAAACAAGAATCAGACGGGTTGTGTTGCGCATCAGGAAAAGTGCAACTATCAGAAATTGAGAGACCACCAGAACCATTAAACGGCTTGCTCATTGGCACGCATTAAGATTCAAATCTGTTCGTAAAGTCCATTCGCATATTTAATTCATGCTTCCAAATGATTTCGTTCGGAGCAACGGAAATAGTTCACAATATTGCGGCAAATGGCAGTACAATACAATACATTCATTATCATTTATTTAAAAAAAAAATAATCAGTAGAAATAAATTATACGGCAAAACAATGTTTGCCGGGTTAAATTCTATTATGATATAGAATTGTTTATTTTAACCATAAATTAAAGATACATAAAAGACACTTGTGATTAAGATTTATTCACATTTTTTTCACTATATTTCAGAAAGCAATCCTGCCATTAGATATTAAGCACATTATCATTCAAATGCTCTCCACGAGATTTTTCACATCACGGCATCCTTCGATATAATATTTCATGACTTGGGCGCAAGTATCTAAAAACATCCCCGCCGTAAGTAAATAAAAGTTCATCAAGACGATTTCAAGCATCATTAGTTCGTCATTAGCATGATCCTAGGAGGCCAATTAACAGGCAGTGTTGTGTGTCTAACGGCGAGTACGGCTGTATTTTCACATTTTTATTTTAAATTTCAAGAAATAGCAAACTGGTAATCGTATAGCCGTAGCGATCAGAACTGATGATCAAATATTTATCAATTTTTAAATATATGAGTTTATCACGCCAATAAATCATCTGCCTCACCATACATAACATATGGATGCAATTGATTCTCGACAGTACTATGAGTTTGTCTCTTTTTTTCAGAAAGTTCTTAAAAATATTTTTTTATAGAAATTTTTGTTCACCCAGCTACTCTTTCTTTATTTACTTTTACAGAAAATTAAAAGCAGACCCTATCAAGTATTAAGTTAATTTAAGTTAATTCGATAAATATTTTAAACATATTTTTATTTACATTTATATTTACATTCACACTTATCAACAAGTTTTCTAATAAATTGCACACTTTCTTAACGGATTCATCTGAGTACCAACTTCACAGTTGAATTCTTTCGAGAATTCTAAAAAATTTGAAAGTGGTCCAATTACTCTAAACATTGATGGCACATGTGAATCTACTGAAGTCTGCAAATCTCGTAGGCGGGGATGAGTATCACTACACCATAATTGTGCATATGTAATAAAAAATAATTGCTTACTTGTATAATTCAAAGTTGGTAGTGTTTCAGATACTAAATCTTGCCCAGAACGCACTGCGTCCTCATACCAATTCAAATAAGCTTCGTATGCCAAACGTATACCGCCATTGTCAGCAATGTTTTCAGACTGTGCTGTACTTTTTGGCAGGTTCCGTCCACCGTAAATGTATTTACTGTATTGTTTAGAGAAGCATTTAGTTTTTTCCACGAATGTTTTTGTAGACAGCTCATCCCACCAATCTCTACTGTTACCATCCTTGTCATATTTTCGACCTGAGTCATCAAAACCATGTACCATCTCATGACCAACTAACGTGCCCAATGTAGCAAACTTTAATGCATTTGGATAAACAGCAGCCCATAGGTAGTAAGGCTGTAATAGTGATATGGGCACTTTTATTGTGTTTTCGATGATAATATTAGCTGGTGTATATGAAAGTATTTCGCCTGCTTCTAATGATTTTGGAGGTTCATGTAGTTTAGTTAGTAATTGCGAGGCACCCCAACTTAAAAAACTCTTAACATTTTCAACATAATCCTCACCATTAATTGTCAAGTTGGCAAACTCATTGGTGAAGTCATCTTTAGAGTAAGAGTTAATTTCCAATTTCATTGCATCTAGTTTCTCAATGGCAGACTTTCTCGTATCAAGATCAATCCAGTTTAACTCTCTCGAACGTAATTTTGATCTATAAATGCTTTTTAGTTTATTCCATACAAGTTCAATATCCATTTCTGTTGTTTTGGTATTATATTTTCTATAAATCATATTATCCAATACTTTGGCAAAATGAGATTTAGTTTCGGCTATACATAAAACTTCTTGACTGGCTCTTGTTTTAGCATTTTTTAACTGAAAATCACTAAGCAAATAATAAAAAATATAATTAGCCACAACACGCTTTGGTGTTCTTATTATAATATCCTTCAGATTGTCTTGATATTCTGGTACGAATTCATAAATAGTTTCATTAAAGTCAGATCCAAGCCTTATATCAAGTAAACGACGTATATCGATATCTGGTGCATATTTCTTTTGCATGTTATCAATTGTGGTTAATTGTGTCATCTCGTCTAAGTCTAAACCTAATTTATCATCTATCATGCCCCTAGCCAAAGAAATTTCAAAGTCCATTATATCTGCAGCTGTTTCTTTTGCCACTTGTTCATTTATGCCCAGATAACGTTTTAACTTATCAGCTATTGTCATTTTGTAACCTTCTCGATATATTTTCGTAACATTATCTAAGTACATTGAACGACTCTCCAGTGGCAAATCTGAAGGTCCAATATAAACGCGATTCTCTGTATTCTTAGCATAATCTGCAAGCACGTCAATACTTATAATTATATCTTTCCCATATTTTAAACTAATTTTTCCTACTGTCTCCAACCAATTGAAGTTCTGCTCTTGCCACTTATCACCAACCAACGCTGGCATTTCACCGAATTCCGCAATTATTTCCTTCAGTTTTGCTCTGTATACAGACTGTATTTGAGCAATGTTTGTGCATGACTCATAGAATTTCTTCACCTTAATATCCGTTTCCGTATCGGAGTCTTGCACTCCCGATTTCAGTACCAATGCTACTTTGCGATTTAAAGCTAATGTTATGGACTCAAAAAAGCCAGTCGTTGCATGTTGGATAGAGTTTGCTGGATTTATTTTCAACCAATTACCACATGCAAAATTGTAAAAGTTGTCGCATGGATCGATGCTTGCGTTCATGTAATTATGTATTTCAGCTGCTTTGGAAAGTCGCATGATGTCCCGTACATAAGATGAATTTATCTGATCAACTGGCTGAATGACATCTAATTTATTGGTTGTAATTGGAGTGGTTGTAATCAGTGTCACAAAAGTGAAAACTATTACAATTGCTTGAAAATATATGTTCATCTCTGTTAATTAAAATTATTTCTTATTTTTTTAAATTACAAAAATTTTGTTGTTTAACAGACGAATAACAAAGCACGACTATTCTGAGTGAGAATAAATAGTGAGATTCCAAACAAATGCAATCAAATCTTTTCACGATGGTCAGAAGTTTATCAGCACTCGATCAACCTCACGCTTGCTATCTCAATTTACTCTGGTTTTTAAACTGAATTCTAATTTTAGTTTAAAAACAAAACTATTGCAAAATGTTTATTGCATTAAATAAATAACAAATTACAAGAAAATACAATAATTTTCATAGTGACATATATTATGATTGTTTTGTTTATTCACTATTGATACACTGTACTAATTTTCAAAATAAACTTAATGGGATTGTGCATAGTAGTATAAATGATTAAAATAATAATTAATTATATTAATACCATGCCATTAAGATTTTCGCATAAAGATACTCCATGTTAGAGAAAATCTAAATTTACAATATTCACAATTTAGACTTCAACGTTTAGTGCTCGATACGATCGAATGAACTTCTCTTTTGCATAGTATGTGCTAGTAGTATATGGTATTGCATATTCATAATGACGATTGCTATCTTCACAAGGAAGAGTCGTTGTACTTTTATTAGTTTTTTTCTTTCTTTGTTGATATAAGCATTTTTTACTTTTATTATATAAAAAAAATTCGGAGCAAAGAAAACAATTAAAATTAATAAAAAATAATTAATACTTCTCATAATTATATTCTTCTTCTTAATTAAACTTTCTCATATATATAAGGAAAATATATTGGTATCATATTTCTTACTTTTTGAAAAGATTACAAAAATATTTATAACATTAGCATTTAATGACGAATTAAAAAAAAATATAAGTAATTTTCTTTTAGAATTGAGCTCAGTGGTAAATAAACAAATTCCCTTACTTATGTCCTATCCTATATTCAAGAGAAAAAAAAACAATTCTACTAGATCAAATTCCCTGGAGTTACAGTGGCCTATCTTATTTTGAGTACTTAAAATTTCGTTTGAGGTTAATCAATAATGATCAACTGGCTAAATATCTTATATATATTTAGCCCTACGTTATAGAAAAAAAGGATAATTGGTTGGTTCTCGTCTGTTTATGGGCAGAATATTCTCGTCTGTTCAAACAGCCCATAAACGACGTTTTGTTATTACTGTTACTACAGTCCATAAATATATTAGTCTTAAAATCAAACTGACCGATTAATAAAGAAAAATTGTTTTGAGAAAACATATGTGGGCGTTTACAAAGAAATAGTTTAGTTACATGTTTTTGCTCTTCTTTCGTGAGGCCTCTTCGATTTAAAAATTTTTGGATGGCTTAAGCTTTGTCAGTGCAATCTTGGCTCCGCCGAATAGGATTTTTATTATATATTTATATCTATATTATATATCTATAAAAATAAAACTGAAACCATATTGTAATATTAAGGAAATATTTATGAAAAAGTATCTTATTTATTTATTAAATTTATTTAAATTAAAGGAAACATTATTTATTATTAGTTCAAAACTAGTTCCTAGGTTTGATAGTTTAAAGCTTTGTTATATAAATTTTAATTTTAAACCGCCTATTCTGGTTTTACATTTTTAAACGTTATTTTTAGTTTTCAAGAAGTATTTATTCCTTTGCTGAGGTTGTCTCTGATTCTTATCTATCTTGTTCATCTTGTTAATGTAATTTCTTATATTGTTTAGTATTGTGGAATCTAGTATAATAATTTATCACTGGTGACATCAGTGACCTCAGCTGAGTTTTCTACAGCTGTACTAGCTTTGATTTTGTACTATTGCTGAACAGTGCAATATTTGCTGCTCCACCATTAACAAAACCTCTAATCTGCTGATTTTGTAGATTTTCCGAAATTAGCTTAGCTTAGCCCAACTCTAGATTGCGCCCTGGAAGATATTAGACGAGTTTGCAAAGTGAAAGGAACTTCATTTATCTTTTTGAAGTAAAAAGATTCCCACACTCAACACACAATCGAGTTTAGAAATGAGTTCACCTCAATGAGCTGTTTAAATCCTTTTCCCCGATTTCTCTCTTGAGGGATTAAAAATACTTTTCGGTTCTATAGTTTTGTGTGTTTATTAAATATTTTTAAGTTTTATTGAATGGAAATTTATACCTCATATTATATTTTATTTTAACTATATAGACGTTCATAATGCCCAATAATATAAATGTGCAATATTTTATTTTTCTTTGACAATAAATGGCTATTACAGGTTATGACAAGTCTAGTCATGCTTAGACAAGTTGTCAATATTACATCAGTATATGGTTTTCTACAGACATAGTCTTAAATATTAAAAAGATTTGTAATTTAAAAAATTAGTTAAGCTGGATAGAGATGATGAATTTCTATCTTAGGATTAGAACAGCACTATTTTTTATTCATCTGTAAAGGAATAATAGAAAATAAAAAAAGAATAAATATTCCCTCTTTACTGTTTTTGGGACCAATGGAAAATTTAATATCCAAGATTTAAGAATAACATATTTAACAAATTCAAAATGTTGACAAAGCAAACAGTTTTATTATTACTTAATAATTATAAGGGAAAATGTAAAAAATTCAGATTTCCTTCCAATTTTTGAAACCATTATTTTTGAAGTTGTTGTACATATAGTAAGCAGTTGAACCACACAGATCTATTGCACCACCAACAAATGTTGATTTGAATATTAAACCAGAACTTGTAGCGGATATAAACATATTCGTATCATCATTAGACTTTGGGAGGAATCTATTCAACAATATATAACACCCACTATAGTATACTCCAATAATTCCTAAAGTGTTAGACAAGCCTGCGCCTTCCTTTACTACATGGTTTAATAAAATTGTGTAGATTTTGCCAGTGTTATTATGACTCAGTACCTTTCGAACCCCTTTATACAAGCCAGTTAAAGTACTAATAGATGCGCCTATTAGAATCAAAGCACCTATGTTCATCATATTCACCTTTATTTTATGCTCCTCCTTGATACTTTTAAGTGTTACATACTGTGCACCCGAATCCTTAGAACTGGAATTATCCATAGTAGATTCCCGCATAGGTGATATTACATCTGCGGGTATTTCACCAAGTGTTGACGTGTCATATGTCTCACTGGAGACATTTTTGTTTTTTTCAAAAATTTTGTCCAAGTACTCTTTTATCATTTTGCTTTAGTTAAAGTATTAGAAGGAAATTTATTTATATGCTAATGAAGAAAATGTTTTAAAAATTTTCTAAAATTATTTATTATTCAATTCGATATGAAATATTTTTTCAAAACATTCACGCTCACTTAGTGTAAAATTGGTATATATTTTAAATGTTTTATTTAAATAAAATTAAAATGTGATACCTAAATAAATTATATTGGACTTTACACATATAGTTTTAATAAATATAAAATAAACTGAAATTATCCCCAAGTTCATATATAACATATATATATAAAAGCCACTCGCGTTCAAGTACTAGGAATGTTCCTATATCATGGCATCAATGTTGTATTAACCAATGAATATGCTGATATCTGATTAAAAGACCAACAACTAGAGCCCTAAACGCGGTATCTGATTAAAAGACCAATTAGAGCCCTAAACGCGGTTAAGTGTTGTAAAAACAGTAAATAAGACTTAATGGACTTAATAATTGATACTAAAAATACCAATATTAATAGAAAATTTTATTATGTCAACAAATCCTTACTGAAAAACTTGATAATAATCCAGAATTCCATGAAAGTTCATTGTAAATCCATTTATGTAATTTTGTTTAATGTGAAACTATTACTTGATAAAAAATGGGTCTCCAAATAAGTCGTTCTCCATTTATTAACCGTATACATTTTTCCATTAGCACCTGCAAATGTCATAAAATGTATGGTGTGGTATTTGATCTGTAGGTGAGATGAACTCATACTGTTTTGATCGATATAGTCGCACAAATTTTTTTAACATGAAATTGAAGTTTAAATAGGAAAGGTATGTGGTTTTAACAAGACTGGCGCCACACGCTGTAAACACAACTTATTTTGGCTGTGTAGTAAGTATAACTTTTCTGAGAAGTATAATTTCGCGTTTTGATGATGTGATTTTTTTGTGATGTTACATATAAGACCATGTTTATACTGACAGCCCTTTTACTTCCGGCCCTTTGTAACATTTTAATAAGCAAGAGTAAAGTTATGGTTGAACTCTTGCCAGCTATGTGTCAACAAGTCAACAAAAATTATCTTTAAAACGGATAACACTGCTAGATATAAACAATATATGTAATATATTGTATTTCAAAGCTAACGATGAAAATTTAATCAAAATCTTATTTTTTATAACAGCGTTTACTTTTGTTATGTATGCGTTTGTACCTGAGTTGGTGGTACCATATATCACCTTAACTCTATTTTACCTGTGGACAGTTTTAAGTCATACTAAGAATAACTAAATACGGTGGCTTTATGAAATGATGTATTGAATGTCTTTATATTATATCTGCCTGTGCTTATCATATTTTGCTGTATTTTTAGGATGTTGAGCGTTGAGTTATTGTGACTGTCTATTATGTTGAACAGTTTCAGTGAACGATGTTTAATGTACTCTGTATCTACCAGTAACCTTCTTAAAAGCTTATCGAAAACTAAATCAAACAAAAAAAAAATAATATCGCAGAATTCTTTAAAGTTTAATAGCAAGCATAACTGGTGTAGTCCCACTGGGTTAGAGATCATATCTAAATCCTGCATGTTAACAGATTGTAAAGTGCCTCTATAATTTGAAGAAAAAAAAGGTTCAGATTGAAATAATCTAAAAAATCATTTTTTAAAACAACTACATTAAAAAAATAATAATTTAAAACTCAGGGCTTATATTTCACTATCTCAATTTATTTTCCATTTTTAATCAATAATTTTCATACAATTTTATTGGTGATTATCTATTTTACTCTTACATCAATATAAATTACAATCGTTTTAATACAATATATAATATAAGTAGTTGAGAAACAGTTACTTATAGTTCAATAATTTTTTACTTATTGGTTTAATCTTTACTTCATAAATTCTAAATAAGAAAATTAATAAATATTATTTATTTTTATAATTATTTTTTGTTGGCTAATTAAAAACTAAAAACAAAATATTTAAAAATTCGTACGATTTTTATATAAAAACCTTAATTATAAAATTAGTTGGCACTCTGAAATTAATACTTCAAATGATATAAATATGTTATTAACAATACACCCAAAAATATATGGAACTAAAATGTACAAATTTATATATGATATATGATAAAGAAATTTTAACTAACTTAAATTATAAAAAGTATATTTTTTAAACTCTTCTGTGTGTATTTTCATAATTTTAACTAAACTTAATTTTAGTAAATATTAATATATATTTTACACTTTTAGCATTTTTAATTAAAACAATCAATTTCATTAATATTATCACAACGTATTAAACATAATAAAGAACATTTTAAAAAGATCTCCTTGATTTTTTTCAATAACATTTAAAAAAGTTTATTTAATTTTGACATGTTCTCAGTGCAAAGGATGCATTATCCTTCATGTTCATGCCAGCGTAAAACAAGTCTTCAATAAAGATTTGTATAAGAATAAATCGAATTATAATAATGTATATTGGCCTATAATCCTTTTAGATTTAGCAGTGTTAAAGTTACGATTTATGCGCTTAAATGCAGGTTTTTCTGAGTTTTTATTTAAATTTTTATGTAGTATTCCATGCTATTTTTTTCTTTAGAATTGAATAAATTTTAATAAGTTTTTATTAGTTTTTGCTTTGTTTATGTACTCCTTATTCTAGTTTATTTTATTTGATTTTAAAATAGTTACTTTATTTTCAAACATGTATTGTATATTCTTGCCGCTCCTGTTCCTTCTTCTCATGATACCTGACAGCAGAAAGGTGAACAAATTATGGACAATATAGAGAGAAAGAAAAAATGAATTATTTAATCAACAAATTTCTTGGAAGCTTTGTGTATAATGCAGCGACTAAGTAAAGTTAATATTTTACGAAACTAATTAAAATGCAATTTGTACGCTCCTCCGCCACCCACGCTACCTTCAATTCAAATTGTCCAATAACTCACCTTGCCAACAGTGAAGTTAATTCCTCCCTATCCATTTTAGCCAATTGTCCGTCGGTGTTTTCCATTACACGTTGCACTTCCAAGTCTAAATCCGCTTCGCTAAATTCACGTGAATCTGTAAAACCCGACGGTGGACGAAAACCCAAATCCCCAGCTCCGGCCGCTACAATGGTGGCAGCCAATGAGGCCGCTGTGTCGGAGTTAACCTCACTGTCTAAACTGTTGGTTATTTAATATTGTGCATGTGTCCGTGGATGTTTAGTGTTTTGAGTGTGTTTGTGTTTTTTTTTAAATAAAGTTAGTCCATTAGCAAAGTTTTTAAAAAAGGACGAGAAAGAAATCAAGATAAAAAAAATATATTAAAAAGAATATATAACATTTTTTTGCCAATTAAAACTAATTTAGATTTTTTATTAAAAATAAAAATTTTTTTGATTTACTTTAATTGAAAACAAAATAATATTTGACGTTAAAATTTCAGATTCTTATAATGCTTATTAAATAATACACATAAAAGTAAAATTTAAAGATTTCTAAATAAATATAAACTTTTTTATAATACAAAAATACATGAAGACATATTATATATAAATATTATTTAAAAAAAAATTCTAAATGAGACTGATATCTTCAATAAATATTTTATATAGTATATTTAATTAAAATAGTTATATACTAATATAAAACTGCTAAATATTTTAAAAAATTTAATGCATAATCTTTAAAATTTATACATACATATCTAATATATATGTGGACATAATATATATTAGCTATATTTATTGCTATATTAATATCAATTTTCTTTATGCCTTTTTTTTTAATAATAGAATAATTATAATTAAATAATAGAATAGTTGCTTAGAATAATTCCAATCCTAATTATTGAGTCATGAACTTTTAGAAGCGAACTCGCAAAAGAAGATTATAAAGAAACGAAGACTTCTGTAGACATCTTTTCAATGTGCTAATTGTATCAAAACTTAAAATTTTTTAAAACAGTGTTAATTTTCATTACCCAGAATAAAAGTGTCTTCGGCCTACTTTAAGAAATACTTGAAGATACTTGATTTTTTAACAGGCTAAATATATAATACAGACTCTATAAAAAAGAAATTTAAGTGTATATTGTGAGTTGGCTACCGCTGAAATTTAGGGTTAGGGTTTTTATCAATAGTATACAAAACTGAGTTCTAGTATTGTGGATTGCAAAAAGATAGCTATACCATATTTCGATTACCAATATAACTCTATATTATCGCATCGACAAAGAAAATAAAGTCACTTGTTTGTTAAGAATCATGCTTATCTAGCTCCCGCAAAACATTTTATGTACTCTTAGTAACAACTGAGACATAAGAATAATTACCTAGTGTCATTAACATCTTCCTAATTTTAATAGGAACTTTATCGATTTATATCTGAATATGTAATGCTCAATAGAATAGCGCACAGAAAGTCTGAGTCTTTGATGTCTAACTAATCTTTTTTTTTGGTCACAAAATGTTTCAGTATATTACAACCAACCAGCTCACTGATATTTCATACGACAGTCTGTACTATTTTATCTAGAATACCTAAAACCTGAAAGAAAAGAATAGTACTTTGAAACTGTAGTCACTTCAACTTTTGTTATGAAAAACTTTTCTACTTCAAAAATAAAATTCATTAACTTATGTTGAAATTTGCTTATCTCTACCCTGAGGATAACTGTTTAAACACATTTAGAATCAAACAATTTAAAAGATATTCACATTCTTAAAATTGTGATTTTTAAAAAGATTTCATTAACTTTTGTTTTTAATTGAAATTTTTTTTATTTTTTGTTTTGGAGTTTGGGGTTTAGGTACCTGAACTACCTGTTGTTACTTCCGGGGCACAATCGCCTATCCAGGGAATGGTTGTCTTTCGTTGACAATGTTTTGCGACTGCGATGACCTCGTTTATCTACAATAACAGCAGTTGGACCGCCATTTCCACCACTAACGAGAATACCACTATTGCCACTGCTACCACTGTTATTGCCAATATGACGCGGAGTATTGATGCGTCTCTCTACAGGTGAAGCCTGATCATTATTAGACTCCGTACTCGAGTCAGGTCGAAACATATCTGAAAAAAAGTATGGGTTGGGTGCGACAGATTTCAGTTTTGTTATTGAACTGCCGTCACGCCTACTGCCATACGAACCTACTGCAACACGTCCATCATTGCCACGCGTTGACTTACAAGGAACTCTATACGTAGGCATATTAGAGAACTCAGTGCTAGGACTAATACTAGTATCGGACTCCGATTCACAATGTCCATCTGCATTAGCGCCACCACTACTGCTGCTATTACTTTTATTTCCACGACTACCATCATTTCGTGTTGATTTCTTAGAATGTCCTGACTGTGAACCCGCTACCATTGTCATCGATTTAGAAAGTGTAGATTCATCTATACTCAATCAACTTAATTAGAGAACATCAAACCATGGAAATCATGCATTTACCATCTGTATTGAAATAACGTTGCTTATGCCAACTAGATTTTGATTTTACATGTCCAAAACCAGAGCTTGGCAAAAGTGGATATGCAGTTGCATTAAGATTGTCTCCTTCGGGATGACCAAATGTTTTGAATTGCATTGTATAATCCAATGGAGTTGCAGTAACACCACGAGAGGGTGGTGTTTTAGCTGGTGCACCTGTACGCCCACCATTTACACTAAATGTTGCATATGGCGATATCTCATACATTTCTATTGGTTTTGGTGAAATGAAAGTGCAAAGGAAGTATATGTCATTGAGTGTAAACTAAAGAAACAATTACGTCATGTGCATAGTACGCAACAATGTAGCCTTAGGCTTCTTTTCAATTGGTTAGCTTTGCAGTTGAGCACTTACCTGATTCATTTGCCTTGTCTACTGTCTTTACAGGTGATGCACTGTACACTTGCTGATTGCGTCGATTGTCGTGGTCTTCTTTGTAATCACCCGGCAGAGCTCTTGACTCGTATCCCTCGGCCATTGGACCGCACAATGTTCGTCTATGCTTAATTGTTAAAGCACTGCGAATAGAAGTTTTATCGACGTTAATTAACTTCATTTGTATTGATATGAAATTTAATTTAAGATACTATTTAGTGAAGAATGTGATAAACTTTGAAATAAGGAAAAAATAAACGAAGCATTATACAGAATTTAATCTCTATGAATTATTTATTTGTTAATTTGATTGTTCTTTACCTATCACTTATTTAGTTATGAAAGGTGGACAAGATTGGCTTATAAGCAGTAAGTACCAATAAATGAATATTGTTTTAAGTCTTTATATAAAATAATGAAAAAGTTTTTTAATGTTCTTCACAATAGAGCATAATGCCCACAGATGATGGGATACAATTCGATTTTGTAAAGATGTTTTCATAGACAGGTAAGGTGCTACTATCAAATCTTCCGCAACCTCGATGCAATGTTAAGAGCATCGTCATTGAGTTAGTTGTATCTCAATGGGAAATTTGAAATAATTATCATGCATATAAGTTGTGTCTCTTAGTGAAACAATTAGACTAATCGACATATTAGATTAAGATCTAACAAATATACCTTGATATATTTACATACGACTAAATCAGATGCCACGAGTAGAGAATTATGCATTTGGGTATAAATTTTATTTGATTTCTATATTCTTTGCGACAATTCTACTATGCTTTATGTTGATATAACTAAGTTCTGGAGTTATGGGGTTTTAACATTGCATGTTTCAATATGATAACCTCAACCATCTGTGCCTAGTAGCAGTCGTTTATGTGGTCAATCCCAATTGTTATCAGATTACTACGTTTGGTTAAATAAAATATACTACTCAGAACACCAAAACACTTTGTTGAATCTAGTTCTGGAGAAATCGAAATCTCTCTATAAGTAATTAGAAACTGTTATAATAATAATTTTATTGCTTACTGCATTCTTATCCAGAGAAAAACACACCTTGTTAAGAGATTTTAATTTTAAAGAATTGCTAGAATACCCATTCTTTATTGATGACGATATAAAAGTAGTGGATCTATATATTTTCTCCTCATATTTTTACAATAGGCCTTAATTCAATATAAGCTTTATATTTCCATTAAATAATTTCCATTGAATTATAATGAATTTAAGTTGCGCTTAATTACTATTTGTCTGTCATAAGCCGAAGTTAATTTCCTGCTCGCGTAAAAGTCGATTTGTCAAAAATAAATTGACATTTAAAGTATTTTAAACAATTTTTTTCAACATTTACAGACTCTAATCTTATTATGATGCAGGAATTTGAAAAATGCCCAGACGAACTTCTATTAAAATTTCATGGTGCACAAATTGCAAAATAAACGTTAATACGCTTTTTCCATTGGAGACCCATTCATGCGTTACTAATTCACCACAAAACCCAGTGAAATAATTTCCTAATTAACATGGCGACTAATTAATGTCGAGGGAGGATTTCGTTTTTATAATTTTTACTCAATGCTTGAACAGATAAGCCGGTTGAGCTGTGAACTGAAAGCGAAGTAAGTATCCGGCAGATTTGCAATATGCCCACCCTTCGCACTTGACCAGTCGTTGTTAAACGTACTTTGCGAATCAATTTAACTTCTAATCTTAAGAGTAGAGTACGGGTGAAACATTTTTTCATTACAGTTAGTTATAGAGACATAAACCTGAACATTTGCCATACTTACATTGTGATAATGGCCACGGTTATAATGACAATTACTATTAACGTTGAGAACCAATCACCGTTGGTGGGATTTGTCGCATTTATCAGATTGTTCATCAAATCATTTTCCGATGGGAAAACTGAAGGTGGTGGAATAGTTACACCATCCAGATTCGTTGTGGAAAAGTGGTAATGTTCGGTGGTTTTGCCAGCATCGTTCGTAGCTGATATACGCAACTGATACCATTTGGCTGGCAGGAAATCGCAAAATATTAAATTTTCACGATTCTCTTCAGCGTTCGATATGTCAGAAGTAACAACTGTCCAACGAATGTCCCCTAAAATTTGAAAAAAGCAGAAAAGTAAAAATAAAGTTATTTTAGTAATGAAAAATTCAATCATATAAATGAAAGCAGAGTCAAGTTAAAATGTCAATCACTTATTAGGAATTTAAACACATAAAATTGATTGAAAAGAGCTTATCAATTTTGCATGAAGCCATTAAAGCTTAACTGCTTTATGTATAAAATATGTAAATATTTACTTTGAAAACAGCATTACACATATTTAATAAAGTTAAAATACGAACGTTGAAAAATTATTTTAAATTTTATAAAAAAAAAAGTGAATTATGTATGCTATATATTTTTTTTTTTTAATAAAATAAAAGTAGTTCAAATATGTGAAAAATATTCACTAGCACTTCAATTCAGTCCAATTGCAACAAATTGCCTCAATCTAATATATTGAAATTGATGGATATTTTATTTTGATTATTACTTTTGCGCTTTACCATATATTGACTTCGCCAGTACCAATAAATCTTCCATGGCTTTGTTTGCATTTTTTCAGTTCCATTCGTTTGTATCTTTTGTTTACAGTTATTTCTATTTTTATTTTTTATTCTCTTATATGTTTGCCATTTTCACTTTTACTGCTTTATATATTTTATATCATTTTTATTTATTTTTTTATTTATTATGTTCTAACTACAGTTTTTATCACTGATGGAACTGACGAAAAACTCGATTAAATCCAATGAGCTTTTCACTTCAACACGCTTTTCTGCATTTGCATATTTTTCATATTTCGTATAAAGAGAATTTCCATTTTCCCTTCAATACAGTTTTTTTTTTATTTCGTTTTTTTTTTGATTATTTATTGACCATAATCATTAAAATGATTAACTTTTAATCAACTCGCCAATTGTGCCAGACTTTTCCATTTAAGCGAATTGATTTAATGACTGTCAAATTATTTAATTAAATTTTGTTTTATAAATTGCAAATGTGAAATAAAAGCTTTTATTATTGTTAAAATAGCATTTTTTTTCAACTACTGATACACGCGAGAGAGTGAATGATACACAAAAAATATCCTTTTAAATGAGTTCAAGTGGCCTGAAGTCATGCAAAAGGTTCGATAAAGTACATAATTTTAACACCAATTCGGCAAAAAAGAATTGTAATGTATGAAAGTCGTCCTGTTCCACACATTATAAAAAGGGTTCATACATAAGCCAACTTATCACCAATTAACGCATTTAAGCATTCGTGAATGCATACACAAAGTGTAAACTATTTGAACATAAAGTCCGAAAAGTGAATGATTCTGAAGCAATAAGTAAGCAACCCAAAAAGCGAATCATTCTAAAGCAATATGAGCAAGCTAAATACTCGAATGTACAAAAACAGTTTAGAAAGAAAGACAATATATTAACTAAGAGACTAGCATTATTCATTAATAGATCAATCCATATATCAAATTTTATAGGATCCAATTTCTGAAACTTAAAGTGCAAAAAATATGTATAAAAAACTAAACATGTAGATAAACTAATAGATGTTTCCAACAATCCGTGATGACCGATATGTGGTTGTAACCGAAACAACTGTATGGTCAGTCCAAAAATCCATTTTGAGGAATCAATGCCAGTTCAAAAAATGATATACAATTAATTTTAATAGTTTTTCGAACAATTACTGATGATGACTAGTTGTATCTAAAAAAAATGTATGGTAAACTCAAGAGTTGATTTGCTGAGTAAAAATCGTTAAACTTACAGTCAAAAAATTATATACATTTAATCCATTAGATATTTTCAAAGATCACTATTGATGACAATGTGGCTGTATTCAAAACAACTCTCTGAGCAGTCAAAAATTTCATTTTAAAGGTTTACTTTCTGAATCTTACAGTTCCAAAAATTATACATTATATACGTAAACCTAAAGATTTTTCCAAAAATCGCTGATGTTCAATATGTAGTTATGTCTAAAACAACTACGTAGGCAAGCTAAGACTTTATTTATTTGAATTTATTTAAATAACGTATGTTAAATATAAGATATATCTAAATAATTTATCTAAATAATTTAAACTAACTTTTTGGACTTCAACATTTTTTCATTATTATCATATTAGGTGGTAACTAACTAACCTATACCAGTGGTTCCCAACCGGTAATCCGCGAGTTGGTTAAAAATGATCCGCGAATCAAATGGATACATAGCTTACAGTTTGTCCACTGAGATCTCACTCGTAGAAAATAAGCACAAAATATTTCCAAGTAATTATATACCTATTTTATATAGCCTATATAATTAACCTTAGTACTTATACAATTCATTATGCATTACACCAGATATGCATAAAGCATATTAAAATAATCATACAATTTATGATTCTTAAACTTTGTGATCCCTACAATAACCAATAATATCATTATGATCCTTGGTCAAATAAAGATTGGGAACTACTGAGCTTTACGAAACACATTTCTTGTCATGGGACAAAAATTTTGCAGTTATGAGTTCATTTATATAGATGATTTTAAATACCAATCATATAAGTGCGAATAAGGGCTCTGCCATGTTTAATATTAATTACTAATTATGTGATGAAATATGTGACCCTTCTTAATAAGAGCAAATATCGATGATAATAAAACCATTTAAAAATTAATCGACTAACCACAAATAAAAATATTCTAACTTCAAAAATATTTCCAAAATATATAATAAAAAGTGACAATACGCTTAGTTTTTAAACTTTTAATTCATAATTAATTACTCACTTTATTTAGTTACTATTTAAAATTTGTAGTTATAATTGTTTAGTAAAATGCATATTAATTTTGTTTCCAATTTAACACATAAAATTAGCGTGAATTACATAATACATAATACTCATAATATGCTATAATATTGATAAGAATTTAATTAAATTACTAAAAATAGAAATTAAAATTTTTAATTAATTAATGTACACAGATTACACTACAAACAATATATGTTGAAGATTGTTTATTTATACAAACACATACTTACATACAATATTCAAAAATATAAATAACAAGTGAAAAAATGTATATACAGGATAATAGTACAGAAAAACAATATTTTCGATTTATCATAAAACTAATTTTGAAATAATAAATCATCATACGTGCACAAAATCTAAACTTAAATAAGAAATCATGTTTTATATAGATAGATACTATATCTGTATCTGCTTTGCAATATTTAAATAACTCAAGTATACTCGAATTTGAAGATTTGTATCATATGATCACTTTACTTGTACGGAAATGCTCGAGCTACTCGAAGATGTTTACGTTTAGTTTTCATACTCACTTTTACGGCACTACTCGAAGATGTTCGAGCTACTCGACGAAGATGTTCTACCTACTCGAAGATGTTCGAGCTACTCGACGAAGATGTTCTAGCTACTCGAAGATGTTCGAGCTACTCGAAGATGTTCGAGCTACTCGACGAAGATGTTCGAGCTATTTGAAGATGTTCGAGCTATTCGAAGATATTCGAGCTACTGGAAGATGTTCGAGCTATTCGACGAAGATGTTCGAGCTACTCGAAGATGTTCGAGCTACTCGAAGATGTTCGAGCTACTCGCAGATGTTTACGTTTAATTTTCATACTCTACTTTTACGTCACTATTTTACATAATTTGACTTAAAAAATCCGTGTACATATTATTCTATCTTGAATCAAAACTCGCATGTTTCTAACTTGTCGATATTTTTTTTGTTGTACTATTGAAATTTAAATTTGCAAAAAAATTATTAAGGTTTGACTTATCAAAACCACATCTAATAACTGCGAGCATTTAATGAACTGCACTGCTCAACAAATTGAGTCGTCAAAATAAGTGCGCTTGAGTTACACAAAAACCACAAAAACGAAAATGCATTTTATTATTTCTGTTACTATCACTAAATTTAATAATGGTTGCTTACCCAACGGCCGATGTTCAATGGAAAAATGATGAATTGGACAACCGCCATTGTTCCAGGATGACAACTTCAAATTAACGCACGTCGCATTTGTGGCAATTAGCTCGTTGCCGTTTGGCGCTTGCGATACTGCAATGAATGTAAATTTTATTTTATATTGCGGTTAAAATGTAGATACACGCTCCACTGTATGTGTAAGTGCAGGCTTGCATGTGATATCAGATATCATAACGAAGCTTGCAAAAGTAATTTTAATAGATATTCGCGGATTTAATGGATTTGAACGCAATTTCCAAACACGGACACGTTGTCGCAGAGAATACGCACCGCACAACATTTGTTGACCGCAACAACATGCAAAAGTTGGTTGAGCGGACAAAATGTGCTGTGGTGTCCTTTAATGAAAAAGCCTTTAATTACAAATACAGGGTGCAGCATAACACAAGTGGTGTGGCACAATAGGTTAGAATAATATTCCGCACTCATACAACATTATTATTTTAATTAAAAAGTAAAAATATTGAAGCAACAAATCGTTCTGATTACCTTTGCCCTTCGTCCAGACATTAATTTCCTCACTAGCTGAGCCGTCACCAACAATATTGTGTGCTGACATTTTAATTATGTACTGATTGCCACACTTTAAGCCAGTTATCGTATAAGCGTTGTTCTCGGGCATCAGTTCGGTTTGTGACCAGGTTTCACCACTTATGCGATACGATATAGTATAACCCTGTAATGGAGCGCCGCCATCGTCTGGTGGATCCCAGCTAACACGTATACTGTCAGCAGATGCATATTGTACGATGATTTGGGGGGCGGCAGGTGGTTTCATTGCAATCACCTGATACTGAATTTCGTCACTTCCGAAAAGATTGTTTGCTGTGCAAGTGTAATTTCCGGACAAGCTGCCTTCAACTCCTTTTCCGTGTATTTTTACAATTTTTACAATTTTTTCATTCAGTTTTAGTTTTGCAATTTTTGGAGGTTTTTTTTTTTTGTTATATTTAAGTTCATGTGTGTTGCAATACGTTCCGTTGGCATGTGATGTGTATCAAATAAATTAAAAGTGAAAAAGATACAAGGTAAAACGTATAAAATAAAAGAAAGTGCATGAAATAACAGAAAATACATTTATTTAAGTGCTATTTAATGTACGTTTCAGCTGCAGATAAACGCAGACAAGCACATCAACATTTTAAGCTCTTTATGCCTTTCAGACTTTCGCAGAACGCTTAAAATATAAACTGCACTTGCTTTAAATTGCATTTATTAAATTACCTGTCCTTTAAGGATATTTAAATGGGAATATGTTAGAGTGTCGTGCGAATACGCCATACTTACGATGTATTTTCAGATTGCCCTCATTGGTAACTTCATAGAATGGGCTAAATGTCACTGGTCGGTCTCTGGTCAGCCATCTGGCCCGTGGCGTTGGATTGCCTACGGCCAGACATTCTAAAATTAAGCCGGTACCGACCGCTTTCCGCACCACTTGACCAAACGAAGCGATACGTGCTGGCGCTGAAATTGAAAATTGAAAACTTTCAAATTGAAAATATCTGGCAACAATGTAAAGTATTCATGGCGACATTAAAATGGCGTTTAATTTGCTTTTATGCCGAATTCGCAGTTTATGAACGTGTTTTGTGGTCGAGTGCGAATATCAAAACATTGTTGCATATTTGCTGATTACGTTTCCTTTTCCTTTTTTTTTTGTTTTCAAATACAACTCTGTAAATCGTATTCGTTTAACTCAATTTTAAATGGAAAAATTAATTTTAACCACAAAAATTGCATTTCAATTCATGCAATTGCAGCAATCAAATGCGATTTGATATGAATTCAACTTAGAATGATTGTAAGTGTATGTCACAAAGTTAGCTCCCAAAATTGAGGTAATACGATTAGACTCACAGATAAGATTGTCTATACATTATTAGCAATTGACCGTATAATAGCAGAGATTGGTCATAATATATGTTTATTGTTTTCAGCGTTCTTAAAATAAGGTATATAATAAAATCCCTATATATTATAATCTATATAATATAATCTATATAATGTAATCTATGTAATTTAAATCTACATAATATAATCTATTTAAACTGTGCAATTTTTGTGAATCAGACTTCTTCTTTTTATTTAACATGGACAGAAATTTGTTATAATTTTATACTAGAGTTGAATAACACAATTTATTAAAAATTATTAATTAAATTATTAAAATTGCTTTCACGTAGCACTATATTTAAAATATCGCTTAACATATACTATATAAGACATGTTATTGGTTTGAATTGAATGAGAAAGTTAATATAAAAATATTTGATTAATGTTTTAGTCGAATGCTAGGAATGTCACATCCACTGATGTGGAAAGGCACTATAATTGAAATGTCGCTTACCGCAGACTATATAAAAACTGCTGGTGTTAATGAAATAACAAAGAAACAGTTAATATAAGAAATTTTGCTTTATGTATTGATCTCAGCTTTCTTCATCAAATTATATTCTAACTTACTAATGACTGATTAATTAACTGATGAATTTCTTTTTATGTAATATGAATATTTCAGTATTTATTCATAATATGAATAATTTAAGGTAAGAGTTTGGGCTTTACATCAAAATTGCTGTGGTGGATTGATGCAACAATTATTAGACTCATGATTACTTATGGAACAGCAGTCTGGAAGAATTGCACAAAGTAACAAACGGCAATTCAAACACACAACAGTATACGAGGACTGCATAAATGTACTGACTATAAGTCCTATGTCAACCATGTGATCATGTCGGATGATATCCATTGTGACCCTCTTAGAACTTATGCCTCCGCACATTCAAATTCAATCTCAAGCAAGGAGGTCCTTCTACAAATCACCAATAATAACATCATTTTGGACAGTTGTCTCAATCGCAGTTAATTTGATATAGTTGCAAAGCAACCACTTTAAATTGTAATACTAGAAATGATCATAAAATGTTTTAACACTAAACTTAGTAATAAAATAGTTGGAATGGTGTAACTGCAAGATAAATCAAAACATCCTAATTTAACATATAGTCAGTTCCTTTACTTTATAAAGAGTCGGAATAAGTAAACGCTAAGAAAATCTATTTTTTAATCAGAAATTTATGCGATAAACAGGTGTGCTTACTTTAACCTTGATTCTTACTATCAGAATCATTGAATGGGCTCCCAACTGATAGGTAACTTTCAAAAAATGGTCTCCTGGAATATTCTACCAGAGCTATGTTATTATAATCGAAGATTAAACTATAACTTAACAAAGCTGGGAACTTACTTTAACGAAGCTTGTAACTTTTGTAGGGAAGAGTGTGAGACCTCTAAACAGATGCAGCGAGTTTGTTAGGCACTGATGCCTAAACGATAAAAATATCTTGGTAAGCATCACATATCGAACGAAGAAATAAAAGTCTGTAATATTATTTTGCGATAATTATTGTTATTTAATCAGTCATACCTATATTTAATTGACTGACTGATTCGATATTCAGAATTATTATGTTCCAGTTGAAAGTTTAACAAAAAACTGATACGATGGAATGCATTCTTTTTTTAACAAACACTCGTAAATGTTTTATACGACTAATGCGACAAGTTTGTTAATCAAGAAAACCCACAACATAAAAATGAGCCTCATTAGGGAATAAAATTTTAGTAAAAGAGCACCTCTTTTTCTTTTTTGTGTATTGGTTGCACTGTCACAAATCTACATAATAATTTAGGTAACTGCGAGGTCTAACTTGTGCTTGTGAACAAACGTGAGTTTACTAGTGTGTTGGATTTTTTTTATGTAACAAAATATCGAAGCTAATCGAGAGATTTAAAAGGTGGAGAAGATACTAGAGATAATGTGAGATTTTACATTTCCATTAAGAACAAAAATGACGAACGAATAACCCAATTAGATGAATTAGACGAATTAGAAAATATAAATGAGATGAAGTCAAAGTCGCAATCAAATTTTCGCTATATCACTGTAAAACCTTACAATATCCATATGGCATTCTAAATATATATTTAATTAGACTACTATTAAAAGTACACTAAAGGACAAAACAAGTAATTCTATCCAAATGGTTTTCAAAATATCATTATCACTGCAAATCCCAATTATTCTAGCAATCTGCAGCAATTAATTTAAATAGCAGTTTTTTTGAATCGGAAACGCTTAAATTGTATGTTCGTTAAATACTTTAAATTGGCTTAAAGTTTTCAATCATTAAAGCTGCAAAAAACAGTGGATTTTTTTAATATTGAGTAAGCAGAGAGTGCCAGTTTTGGCTATTTTGTTTATATGAAGGCATGCAGACCAACCGCCAATTTAAAGGAAAACATTGTTTTCGGTTTTATTTGTATGGAATGTGTTTTGCATGAATTCGAGTTGTGTAGTAACTCACCTCGTGTATTTGTGGCTTGTGCAACCACAGAAGTCGGTTCACCTTCACCAACGGACGTCGAAGCTGATACCCAAAATTCGTACATTTGATTCTCTGCCAAGCCACGCGCTTCATATGTCACCGGATAGCCATTCTCGTCCACTCGCACCATATGGGCTGAACAGAAATAAATTTGAAATTGAAAATATTTTTAATTTTCCAGCAATAATTTTTGACTTCTGGATGAATAAATGCATTAATTTAAAAAAATTAAAACTAACAAAAACTATTTAACTGTTTTTTTCTTTTTTTAATTAAATTGAGTACTAACAAAGTAACTCCTGCTCATCTTCTGTTTGAGCCGTTAAAGTCAATATAAAACTCAGTTTCATAGTTGAGTTCATAATTTCGAATGAACCGATTTCAGTGGAGTTTACATTGCTGAACATAATCACATAAGTAACGATTAACTTAAAAACTTTTGTACAAGGACATTAAATTGTAATGGCAAATCGCTGCACTTCCGACGTTTCCGCATAAAAAAACAACAGTAAAAAACGTTAAAACTTTGCGAAGTGCACTACAATAAATACTGAAAGTGTCCTTTTTAACAACGCCAAATTGAAATCGTAAGCAGAAAGTTTTGCCTCTTGAAGTATTTCTCAAAAATGTACAAAATAAAAAATTGTATGTAGTACAAACGGTATTGTATAAAAATGTTGCAGACAAAGTTTATTCGTTATATGAAAACCAACATTTTTATAATAAAATAAAATTTTTGTTCCTTAACTCTTCTTCTGAATCCTTCTTCATGCCGTTTTAAGACATTACACTAAGTATGGGAACACAATCATAACGATAAAGGCAACTTACATTTTGCTTGTCCTTTACGACCTGCCTCACGTGAGTAGACGGTGTAGTGGGATATGATGCCATTGCGATTTTTTGGTGGCAGCCATGATATCAAAATCGAATCAGCCGTCAAGGCAGCTGCTTTTATGGACGCTGGTGCATCAGGCACATCGTCCTCTGTCTGACAGTATAATGGTTGACTGGCCATGCCGTCTCCTGTCGCTGTGTATGCCAGCACACGTAACGAGTAGTTTGTGGCTTTATGTAAAGTGTGCAAATAGGTTTCCAGATTGGAGGTACGCTTAACTTCCATTTTAGCAGGAAAATCAACTGAGAGTAAACAAAACAAAATAAAACGAAATAAAATTAAATAGAATTGTTTAATTTAGCAACTAACAACTCGACTTTAAGTAAATGAAGTGATTAGAGCTTAAGAGTTGCTATTAAAACTCAAACGAATAAATGTCTGTACAGCATAAATAAATTTATAATAATAGTACAGTAATAAATGATAAGTATTCACATTCTTAACTAAAGAGAATTTGTTGGTAATTTATCTAAAATCTTTTGGAATTCAATAGCGAGAAAAGTCATAAAAAATCTAAACCGCAGCATAATTCCACGACAAACTTTTCACATTTTTATGGCTGCCTTTCTTCTTTATTCAATGCAAAACATTTTTCTCTATTTAACGCTTAGTGATTTTAAACGCTAATAAAAATATCGCATCTCCATCTAGTATCCAGCATCATAACAATCAGCAACACAGCAAAAACGACTGCGATGCAACTATTCACAACCGCATAAACAACAATATTGACCGACGAACTCCGGAACAGAACAAGTGACTCCGACGGAGGAGCGCACAGAATGCTGATAATAACAGAAATCGAACTAAACCCAATGGTATAGAATATTGACTATGCATACTTTATAGACTGCAGCTATAGGAGCAGTGGCTGCATTAAGTTGCAACCAATGCAACATTAGCAGCACAAACTCTATATATATGTATATGCCATTAGTATGTGTGTTCACGTATTTGCTTGCTTAATTCAAACTCACTTTGATTCACAATTGGACGGTATAAAATTTTATAGCCTTGAATTATGCCACCATGAAATTGCAATGGCGGCTCCAGCCAGGATATCTTCAGACTTTGTGACGATAGTGCCGTACAATTGACATGTTGTGGTGGTGCTTCAGGCACTGCAAGTAGACAAAAATAGAAAAAAAAGAGAAAAATTTAAATTTCTGTATGTCTACGTCTGCGGCATGTTCAGAGTTGGTAATGGCATGAACTGGATTCTTAGCATTCGTAAGCCAGTGCAAAGTGTTGCAATGTGGAGTATGTGCTGCATATCCACATGCTGCACAAATAAGTATACTCTCACTACCCTCTGCCTAATTACGGATATGCAAAAATAAATGTTAACAAGTACTTACCACCCTCAGCTGTTGTACCGAATATGGCAGCACTCCATGGACCCGAGCCGAAACTATTCAAAGCGCGCACAGTTACCGCATATCTGGTGTATTTACGTAGACCACGTAGTGTTGCTTTCGTGGTGGCCCAGCCGCTCACAATCACCGACTTCAATGAATTATTGACAACGCTAATGTAGTTCAAGTTTTGTTTCTCCTCGCTGCAGTTCACCGTGTAACCAATGAGTTCACCATTCCAAGATTCGCGAGGTGGTATCTAAAATTGCAACAAGGATAAGGGGAAATAAGTTTCACTACTAAAACAGAGTCAAGTTGAAATACAAATATTTGATTGTGTTTACTTAGTTTGGAGTTGTTAAAAGCGCAAAGATCTTTTAAATACTGATACATAATGAATGCGATAAGTAGCAAAATATGAGTAAAATAGGGAAACATTTTAATTGCACATTTTGAAATACAAGAATTAAATATAAACCTTTAATTTAATCAAGGCGAAAATATATTATTTTTTATTGTACTCTAGAGTAAGTTATTGAATAGCTAATCAAATTTTAGATAAATATTTATTCATTTATCTACATATACATAGATAAAATAATTACAGAAAACAAAAAGACAGATAAAAGATTTTATCTTTTATAAAAGATAAAGATAAAAGTTATCTTATTTTTATTCATAAAACGACCATGGAAAAATTAATGACAGATAAAAGATTTTATCTATTATAAAAGATAAAGATAAAAGATATCTTATTTTAGATTTTATCTACTTAAATTAAAAATCAAGACAATATTTAATAAATGCTTTATAAAAATCAAAGGATGAATAAAATTATTGTTTTACAGTCAAATAATACAAAGAATTATAACAAACAACACAGTTTTTAATGTTGCCATGCTTGTTTTTGATGCTATTAGGTAGCATTTTTTTGGTGTATTTAAAATTGTTCGTGAGTTGGAGACGGATGCCACGGTGACGGACGTAACCAAGACTAAAGACACGATGGAGTAGTAGCATTCCTATAAAAGTATATTGGAAGTAATCTTTTATAATGAACGTTTGAGATAAATGTCCACTGTAAACATAATTAATTAATGAAGAGTATATATGTCCACGGTTGCCACTTATGGTACTTTAGTACCAAAATTGGTACTTTTTTTTACGTTTGGTACTCTGGTACTCATGTTCAAAAAATGGTACATTTTCGGCGACCCAACTTTATTGTCCACGGTTGCCACTTATGGTACTTTAGTACCAAAATTGGTACTTTTTTTTACGTTTGGTACTCTGGTACTCATGTTCAAAAAATGGTACATTTTCGGCGACCCAACTTTATTGTGGATATTGTGTTGTTTTATACTTTTTGTACATTTTATATAAATTGTATTTTCTTATAAAAAGACAATAGAAAAATTTTGGACCTTTTTTTACAGAAATGGTACCTTTTTAAACCAATTTTGGTACAGGAAAAAATTTTCAAGTGGCAACCGTGTATATAACTGACTGCTCTGATAGCAAGATGCTTGTGTTCAAATCCCACTAAGATCTGTTATAAAAAAACGTTTAAAAAATTTCTAAAATGCTTAGTAGTTCAAAAATTGTGCCTCAACTAAATTCGCAAAACTACAAAATCATATAGACATTTAAATCTGTCTAGGGACTAAGATGCCTATGTATGGTTTCCATTTACACATTGATCTGACCTGATATATTATAACTGGATTATAATAAATATTTATATTTTGTTCATTTATAACACTATGAAAAACACAGAACGAAAAAACAAAAAGGTCCAAAATTTTTTTGGACCTTTTTTAACAGAAATGGTACCTTTTTAACACTCCGATGGGCACATGTTTCGATAGTCACGTACGGTACTCATGGGTCTGGCCAGACCCTTATGCGTTTTCATGCATTTGTACGTAAAAACTGAGTACTTTAATGAGTTATTGCATTAATATGCGATATATTTATATATTTTAAATTGTTTTTAGCTTGGATTTTTATTAATTTTCATATTTTATTACATTTTTGCTAAAAAAAATATCGAAAAAATAAAAAAAGTGACATTTGTATGCAGTAACATTTTATTATTTTATTAAAATAAATAATATAAATTTAACAAAAACTAATATACATTTATTTAGCCATTATTACAACAATTAAAACATATATATTCAACTTTAGAATGTTGTTGACAAACTGGATTTGAACATTTGATGCAAAAGAAACGGGTTTTGCGGGATAGTTTTTCACCTTTTGAACAAATGTTACAATTTTTCTTCTTCTCGAGGGTATCTGCCCCACTAACGCCAGTCAGGACTTGTGCTGTAAAATGTAATTGTTTACCGAAAAACGATTCCATGGCCGAACGTGTGATGAACTGTTTGGTGATGTGGACATTTTGCATTCGCCTTAAATATTTGGAAGGGCCAAGGTATTTGATAGCGTGACTAGGAAATTCCGTCTGGCATCCAATTTTTTATTTCCATCAACCTCTTTGCAGATGCAAAATGCAGCCAATGCTGCAACATCTATCATATTGCAGAAAAAAGCAAAAGTCCATCTTCTCGTTGGGCGTTTGGTCGTAAAATGAGACCAAAATGAGTGTTTGGTCCTTTTCATTTCATCTGGTATACATCTCTTATTGGAACGAATAGTTCCAACGAATGCTTAACCAATGCCTTTGAGAGTTGTAGCATAACATTTTTGCCTTGATTTATTTCACGTGTAGCTCCGACTTCCCGGCCTGTATACAATTTTCCCTGTAAAGGGTATTTTGTTTTAGAATCACAGGTCCACCAAATTTTAATACCATATTTGGCTGGTTTCGATGGTATATATTGCGTGAATTTTGTTTTGCCACGATAGGGGAACAGTTGCTCATCAATTGTGATGTTTTCATGCGGGTTGTAATTCTTTGCAAGACTGTCGGAAGCGCATAATATTGTGTTGACGTATGCGAACACCAGCATTCAATTCATTTTTACTCCATTTTGTTCCATCTTTACCATAAAAATATTCTTCGCCAACACTTTGTTGTTGTGTTGCAGGAACTTCCTCATCGTTATCTTCTACATCAAATAGTTCATTTGGTTCGATAATTAATACGTCTTCAATATCAGATGCATCGTCCTCATTTGGTATGAAATCTGAATCATTATCTGCTTCATCATTGGGAAACTAATCTACTTCTTCATGGTCCTCTATAGCTTCCTCTAATTCCATATCGTTGGCTAAAGCTGCTGCTAGGCGATTATAAAATGAGGGGTCGAACTCATCACTGAGGTTTTGCGTGTTATAAAGCAACTCAATTTCATCACTCATTTTTAAAATAATAAATTTTAGTAAAAACAAATGTTTCGAAGATGTTTGCTGCAACCAACCACTGAGACTACGTTTCAAATAGATCGAAACTATAATTTGGCTTCCTTTTATATAAAATTCATTCCATTGCAGGTAACAGCAAAAAATATTTTTGAAGTAAACAAAGTACCATTTGAAAAAACGATTCTCACGTTGCATTTTAATTTAACAAATATACCCGCAAAAGTGCACCGTTATGAAATAATTAAGAATTCGCCGCATTTTGCTCATATTAAAATCGTGGGAAACACCTGTTTTTAGGAAGTTAGTAAGAATACTCGCATAGAATGCCTAGTTCTGAAATTAAAATTCGCCGAATTTTACTCCTAGTAAAATCGTGGGAAACACCTGTTTTTAGGAAGTTAGTAAGAATACTGGCATAGAATGCACAATTCTGAAATGATTAAAATTCGCCGAATTTTCACGACATTTCACGTCTACAGTGAATCCAATTAAATTTTTTTTTTGAATATATAATAAATATATAAATATATAATGTTTATAAATTATATTATATTATTAAATTATTATTTTAATAAACTTTTCTTTTTATTAAATTAACAAAATATATTTCATTTGAGATATTGATGTATTTGGCGAATACGTGCATGATTTTCGGATACAGATATTCCAATATATTTACGTATATTTTGGTAATTATTGTTTGGTTCACATCAATTTTTTTTGCTTTTTGTAATTAATAAACAACATAAGCTTTTCAATAGTCTAAACCGACAGTTTTAGCATAGATATACTAAGAAAAAGTGAAAAATGCTAAAAATGCCATCATTTTTCATACAAATTGTATGTGGGTCTGGCCAGACCTTTGAGTACCGTATGTGATGTGTACACCAAAACATGCTTATAATTATCCTTCTGTAAGCTTTATCGCCACGATTTTTTGCAGATCTGTAGTCAATAAAATTGTAGGAGGGTACCTGAAATTTCAAATCGCTAGCTAAATTAGAAATGTATTTAAATTGTGTTTGAATTCAAAAAAGGTCTGGCCAGACCCATGTGCCTATCGGAGGGTTAAACCAATTTTGGTACAGAAAAAAATTTTCAAGTGGCAACCGTGCTTATGTCTGTGTACAGACTATCTAGTCTTGTGCAGAATTAAAAAAATTTAATATTTTGAGCGCACTTTTATTATTTAACCACTTTGATTTGCTAATTGCTAAATGATACTCAATTTGTCAATTTTCGGTGTTCTACATTCATAATACAGAAAATATAGATAATTATAATACTAGATGGAAGAAATTTGTTTATTCCCATGTAACTTAAACTTAGTAGGATAATTCATTTATAGTGAGGCATTTGTAATATTTATTATTACTTTGTTAAATAATAGTTAGAATTTTTACGCACATAAACAAAAACAGTATTTTATTATCTTAATGATCTGTTTTAATTTCTGATTTGTATAAATTGACAATATTTTAAATGCGGAATATTCCGGTAAATCAATCATTCAGTCAATATAAACTCAGATTTTAGTAAAAAAAAAAAAAATAGTATATTTGTAAGCAGTCAGTAATATTTTTACAATCTAATAACGAAATTGCCGAGCTGCACTTTAAACAAATGTACAAATTTTCAATCCCATAACTACATTTATGTGCTTGCACCAGCTCTATACAGCTTTTACTACACTGAGAATAATTTAATGCCAAATATTGTCTGGTCTAAATTATAACAATTATATTAAATTAATCACAGTTCAGTTTATGTTCTTACTTCTATTTATAAGATTGAAATACTAAACTAGATGAGAATTATAATTTTAAATAATGTTATAGCCTTTAATTTCAAATTATATATTCAATATCCATATCTCACATGAACTCACTCATTAATGTATGTTTTCTGTTAGTGTAAAATCCTTTATATTAAAATAATTTTTTTTGTTTGTTTGTTAAAGATTCATAAACAGATTCAGAATTGTAACTACTTTTTTGCAGGTATTCTATCATAAAAAGTTTTCCCTTGCAATCCAACTTTATCAGTATGATGAGACTCTAATGACAATTAAAAGAAAGAAGACAACAAATCGTCCACCATCATTACTCCATTAGAAACTTATTGTCACCTACATTTTAGTCAGATGGTACTAAAATTCTACATTATCGTATTTAGCAGGATATATCAGAAATTTTAAAAGTAATACCAAGTTGGGAGTTTTGCAATTAATAACTTTTTTTTAACCATCTTCATTTCTTGCTACTCTATAATGTCTATTTTTTTAATAGACATAAAGAACATTTAATGTTTTTGAATGTTTTTCATTTCAGCAATCCATCTTTTTCTTGATAATTCAATTTTATATATTTACTCGATCTAACAGTTGTATATTTGTAATGAATCGCTTATTGCGTAACTTTGATTTTTTTTAATTTATAAATAAATATATTTGTCTTTAACTGGCTTAAATATGCTCCGAAATATATGGAATCATTATACATACTCTACGAGAGGTTAATAGCTGGATATGATCTCTTGCCATTAGTCTAATGACGTCTTCAATTGGTAAATGTAGCGTAATTTTTTCAATCGAGATGCTTTTTTAATGTACTGTTAGTGCAATTTTATTTTTGATTGATAAATCTGGGGCAAATGGTAAACCTGTATAACACTCGAGATTAATGTAGAACATTCTAGATATTTTGCTAGAATCAAGATTACACCTACTAAAATTAGTATGATTACTGATTTTAACCACTGTTTCATATAATTTGACAGTGTGATTTGATTCGATATATGTGTTTATAAAAAATGTAATTATTTTAAATTATTCTAAAAATGTTTGATTTTACAACAAAATTTAAATCCAGATTGAATCCTGATTTACCAATCAAGAAACCCATAAGAATGGTCAATTTTGATGTAAAAAAATCTTATTTGCTTATTACTCATTATTAGACGTCATTCATTAACCTGGATATCTAATCATCGTTTTTCTTCTTTGTGTTTTTTATGATTAAACAGGACTTTCAAAATTGCTGAGCTGTCCTTTTTTCAACGCCATTTTATTTTTATGATACTATGGCTTTTTATTCGCACATCTTTCTTAGAACAAAATTGACTTGTGAATGCCGATTTAATCTGATTCCAAAATCGAGATTAATTTTTTCCAACATCATCTGATTTGATATAGATTTGGCGAATGAGAACTGATATAGTAGAGGTTAAAATTTTTTATATGGCAGTGTTTTAACAAATATTGGCATTTTTATTTGTGTCTGGACAAGCCAACTCAAAATACTTGAATCAACTTTGTTAAATTATTTAAATCAAATTTGTTGTTTTGAAATATCCATTTTAACTTTAAATTAGGAGGAAATAAGACTTATTTTTTAAACCAGTATAAATTTATTTATAAGATACGTAAGTCAAAAAATTATTAACACTTCTAGGCCTACATTTTCAGTCCTACCTATTTATTTCATATAACTTTTCTTCTTTTCCACATATACCAACCACTAATTTTGATGATATTTTGACTTGTAATCCGACTAAGTTTCTGCTTAACGAAAAATTAGTGATAACAGCATTAAATTACTTTCATTGCTAAATAAATCAAAAAATTATAAGCAAAATACTTTCACCTGTAGTTTCAACATTTATGAAATGGAATGTGTATAAAATCAATTTTATACAGACTGCTCTATACCATAGATTTTAAGCCTTATAAACAAGAACTAAATTTACTTAAAATGTGCCAATTAAAAACTTCCCTAAAATTTCCAAAAAAAAATAATTTTTTATAAACCAAGGTTGTTTTAAAATATATTTTAAAAACTTTTTAATTTAGTTGTGGAACTTACCTGCCATGTGACAATTAAATCACTCTCTCCGCCAGTTTGAACTTGTACATTAGATGGCGCCTCAGTGGGTGCCTCTTCTTGAGTTTTTAGTACGATTGGATCAGTGAATGGACTGCGTTCAATTTCGTTGATGGCTTGCATGCGTATGAGAAATGTAGTGGCCGGAGTCAAACCGGACACAATTGCACTTTCACGTAAATCGCTATCATAACTAAATGAATGTAAGATAAATAAAACAGGAAAGCAGAAAAGGACGAAAGTTTGTTTTACAATTTTGACATTTTATAATAAATAAATTTTTGGAAACTTTCTACAAACATTTGCTTAAATTTTAAAATAATATTTTTGCATTTATTGCATACCTTTTACTTATGCTTGTTGACGGCAGACTAACGTTGATTATGTTCGGTCCACTCCAGTCGCCGCCAACTATGCCCAGAGCTGCATGCGACTGCAAATACTTCAGCGGTTGATATTGCACCAAATAACTTAGCACAGGCGAGTTGCCATCAAATGGTCGACGCCATGATAGCTTCACTGTACGTGAACCCACTTCAAATACTTCAAGATTGGATGGTGTGTCCGGACGTTCTTGTACTGCAAGAAATATAATTTGCTCCTCGCGTCCATAGGGATTTTCAGCAATGCATTTGTATACGCCCGAATCATGACGATCCGAACGCGCAATTGTCAACTGCGAGTCGACGCCCTTTTCCGTTTTCATTTCCGCTATGCTAAAACGGAAATTATTCAGGTCAATGCGTCCATTGTTGTGCGTCCAAGCTATTGTGATGGGCTCGTCGCCTTTAGCTTGACAATTTAGCGTGACGGGGTCATTGCGACGAGAGGAGACATTGCGTGATGGTTGCTCGAAACGTGCCGGTTCTACGCAAAACAAATAATATTTTAAGGCAAAATGTTTAAATAAATTGACGAAATTTTTTACATCGCATGTTACATGTTGCATATTGTATGTAACATTTATATGCCGCCAATGGCCATAAAATTTATTCACTTACCATTAACATTGATGCGTATGATTTTTTTAAGGCCAGCGCCAATATTATTCGTGGCTTCGCATTTATAGTAACCCTCATCTATGTCAGTGGCAAGATTTAGCACCAGTGAATGATTGCGCATATTTAAAGCCTTAAATTCCTTGGAGGATTTGCCTGTAGGGAAAAGTAAATTAATTAATGTTCCGTATTACAGCATTTGCAATGCGCAAATTTTTTTATTCCGCTTCCTTTTGGTCATTATCCTTCAATATAATCAGACTAATTGTTAAACTTTAGCAGCATTTGAAACCATTTTTTACAGACTCAATCCCCTTCAAACTTACCAATCTCATTAATATGCTGGCATTACTGAGATTAACATGTATTTTTTACTTTATTTTCATTTAAGCTTGCCAACTTTGCTAAGGCCAATTCAAAACATTCAATTTTAATGAACTCACATTTAAGGATTAAACTTTTATTCCTTTTCGCTGCTAAGCTAAATTTTTTATTACTCTTCTTTGAACATATTAATGTAACAAAATCGCCAAAATGGAAGCGTATAAACTAAAACTCACCCTGTCCCTTGTACCAGGTAATCGCCGGAATCGGATATCCTTCCGCTTCACAATTTATCGATATTGCATTGCCAAGCATGACGGCTGTATCCATGGGTTCGTAGGACCAGCGTGGGGCAACTACATGTTTAAACGTTGCCATGAACCAAAGATACAAAATAAAAGAGTAAACAACAAAATTAACAAGATGTTCAACAGCGAAGATGCAGAATGCACAGCAGAAGAATAAATATAAAATAAATGAAAAAAAAATATTTACTACTTTGCAAGATTATTTTGCAAAAAATCCAGCGTGATTTACAACAGATACAAGCTACATACGTTTGTGCGCATTTTATATACAAACATACATAGATACATATATGTATATATATATATGTTGTACATTGTATATTTATATCAAATAAGTTAAAATGGTGCATCGTCTTGAGCACTGCCAGTGTGTCTACATGCTATTGCAGTGAGGCTTGTGTCATTGTGTATCTTTTGTCAGAGTTGCAATTTATATTAAAGCTTGTGTACCATTCATGCAACTTGTGTGGAGCTTACCTCTAACTTGCAACTCTGCGGTGAAATTCACCTTAGCCGCTGCATTGCTCGCATAGCACGTATATTTACCGCTGTGCTTAGCGCTAATATCCTTAAATACCAACAACGAGTAGAATTCCTCTTTTTTCTCTGTTATCTATAAGAAAGGAGTACCATATAAAAATGTATTTATATATATATTTTAGGAGTGTGTTTATTTATAAAGTAAAAGGAGCTTAGGATATGCTAAACCATACGCAAAATATATTTGACAGTATATGCCAAGTATGTTTAAATTAAAAAATAAGTATATTGGTTTGGCGACCAACTTAAGCTGATTGTGAAAGTTTCTCTATCTTTTCAATTTCGAACTTACCTGCAAACTAGTTGGTATTGCCATATCATCTTTTTTCCAACTAAAATAAATTGGCATATCACCCGAAGATACAGCACAAGTGATTTGTGCACGTCCACCCTCTTGAAGATTTTTAGGAAATTTAAATGGCTCAATAACCGGTGGACCTGTAATGTATAAAATTTATATTTCATTTGGTTTTAGAAAGTATATAAGCAGAAGATTAATTTGATAGAGAAGAAAACTGTATCAATTTGTAATGAGCAGAGATTCACTGACACTATATTTAAGGTCTCTTATGAATTAGCACTTGCTGAAACTAACTAGGGTCTCTAATGAATTAAACTAAACCAATTTCAGTGTTACATTATAGTTTTTATACATACTGAAAAAATTTTCTTGACTTAATTGCGAATTATCTAAGCTCTTATAAGGTTTCCTTTGAAGAATGTGAACAAGATTAACCCAATGCTTTTCTATGAATTTCTATTAAAACGCATAGTAACTTAACTTTCAAATATAATTTCATATTTAAGATGTCTAAATTTTTCAATTTTATCAACTCTATAACTCCACTACTGTTCTGTACACTACTGGGTCATATGACGAATAAATAATTAGTTCTTCAACTTAAGGTGAAATTTAGTCTCTACTAAACAACTTTTTAAAATCTTGAGGTTTTTGATTTAATACACAATCAACATGAATTTATTGACATTTTTAATAAACACTACAATGAATACTTGCAAAAGCATCTCATCTAATTAAATCGTATATTTTCCGATTGGTTCTATGTAGACAAAGACAATGTACTGCAACTGCAACTTAGCTGTATGATTACAATTTTTGTGACGTGAATTGAATTTGACGTACATGTTGATATAAAAGAACCTATCAAACAGATTACAAAATGTTAACATTTTGCAATTTCGAATCAACTTCATTATAGAGTGTTAATAAACGTAGCAGTCTTAATCTTTGTCTGAGTAAATAAATTTTTATATGATTCAAAACCAAATCCAAAAAAACTATATTCTGTTCAAATTCTTTCTAAACGAATAAAATCCAATACAAAAACACTACAAAAACCGTATTCAACCACAGAGAAAGGAAAATATCTCATAAAGGCTACAGTAATATGAGTCATTTTCACTTAACACACACATTACACATTATATTTGTGAAATATTATGACAAGAGTTGACTTCCATATGACACTGCGGTAACTAGCAATTTTCTCTTTCAATGTTCGATTTTCATCTTAATCAAATCTTTCTTTCCAATACCGCAAGCTACCCCACAATACTTACTATTCACATTGAGCTGCATGTCACGACGAGCTTCTTCCCCGGCACGACTACGTACAATGCAAGTGTACATGCCTTGATCCCGTGTTGGTTCCACACTCTTGATAATAAGATGTCCACCTTGCTGCACGGTTGACAACGAATAATGTGAACCTGCGAAAGTAACAAGAGAAGCAAAATGCATTCTGTTGAAAAAATTTTAGTAAGCATAAAAATGAAACAAAGTAGTTAAGAAGCATAAAAAATAAAATTATTGCAGTTTACATTGGAAATGGAATTTATAGAATTTTTCTGTGCACTTGTTCATATTGTAACACGTTTGCCAAATCCAATCATGTTACTAACACAATCAGTAACACTACCATTCCTTTCCCCCCATACCTTCCGGCTACACATACAAATGCAATGACAATAGCAATTTGTCTTACTTGTTGTCAATTCCTGATGTCCTTTCTCCCATCTAATTTGTTCAATGGGATAACCGGAAAACGGACAGTGGACTATTATATCTTCGCCTGCCACAGCCTTTATAGGACCTACAGCACGTACATATGGTGGCCCTGCAAAAGAGGATTACAAGAAAAACATAGAAAGATTATTGAAATATATTTCATTTTTTAAACGTTTTTGTTATGTTAGTAAAATTCATATATTCTCTTATCCACAAAAAAGTATATTTTTTTTTAATATAAATTGTTATAAAAATAAATATTACTTTTATATAAAAAAATAATAGTATCACATTTATAGATTAAATTATATGAAAATATTTGATAGTTTTTATTTCTGAGTTGCTAAACATCATTAATATACTCTATAGAGTTTCACTATATCTTGGATTGCCACAGAAAGATTCTTTGAAAATATATAGTTCTATAAAAGTTTTTCAAAACTTTCATTTTTTATGTTTATAAAAATGTGAGTTTCTGTGCATATTATTTAAAATAATTTCATTCTCTAATATATCATTGAATAACTTCGAGAGTATCTACAACAAAATCTCTAAGCGCCGACCAGTATTCACAAAGTACAATAAGATAACAGTATAAAATCATATATATATATATGTATATTTGATCTTATTCTGTAAGACCGACAACAACGGTAGTTGTTTCTGTTTTGTGATTAAGAATCATTTCCATAACAGATACTCACTACATCAAATAACAATGATTTTTTATATAAATTACAAGAAAAATATCTTATAATAGATATTGCTACCTGTCTTTACTATATAACAAAATTATATATATATTCAATTTATGAAGAAATAAACTTAATTTTATCCGAAAAGGAAGATATGAATAACTCGGAAATACTTAAGAGGAACGTCAACATAAATGAATATGTAAGTCAAATAACATACAATGGCGCTTTCTAGTTTGGAAAGAAAAATTCTAATAATACGAGTTTTATATATAAAACATTTTGTAATAATACAGTCGGACCATAGGGTGCAATATATTGTATTAGTGTTCAAATAGCGTCATTTCACCTGACCCATTTCGTTCCCACTTGGGTTCAGGAACTCGAATATTTCCAAGGTAAGACATACCTGTCATGAAAGACAACTGAAATCCATTAGACACTATCCTGTACTGTTTTGGAGTATAACTAACCTGGTATCCATAAAAGAGTAACGTAGTTGTGGTTGACACTTTAGGTGTCTGCAGGAAGAATGTTAGCACGTATGTTTTCACTTAATATGAAGTTTTATTTCTTTTCAACCAGGTGCTGTGATCCAAACAATAGCAGAGTTTTGATTTTTAAAGTCTAATAAACATTTTTTTAATAATCATGTCAGATGGATTAGTAACGAAAGTATGAAATTGTAAAGTAGGTTTATATGGTACACGACTTATTTAATATAACTTGATTCATATCGCGTGTGATTCTACGAACTAACGTGAACTTCTGATATGTGGTTTTCAGATAATACCGGAAGCACGATTTTTTGTAAATCCTGTCATTCTCATTCTAAATTTTTTAAATTAAATAGGACTTTTTATAAATCAGATACCCGAACTTTTCTGTGCCAAGATACTTTTGTTTTCATATAGCGATTTATATGGTCTAAGACTACATGCGTTGAATAAAAAGTATAAATTTTTAATTCAAATATTTGTCTAGATATGGATATACACCTTTTAGATGCCATCAGTATGCACAAATCAATTTCCTCACATCAGCAAATGCATTTCTCCGATGATATAAAAATGAAATGATACGAAATGAAGTGAATAAGTGGAGCGATTGATTTTTAACCACATATGTTGTTGAATATATTTTGTCACCTATTAGGAATTCACTATATATATTTATTCTTAAACTGTCCTCTTTATTTTGAAACGTTCCTTATACTATGTTCTGCATTTGTTATGTGTTCAGCAAGTGGACACTTTTTTAGGCTTATAAAGAATATGATGTATTTACCAGTGTTAGTTACATAGAAGTTATTGAAATTTAAAGAACTTAAAATATCATATTTTCGACATTTTTACATCATTTATGTAGATCCATTAACTTACTTTTTATTATCATACGTTCCATTTTCTTTATTCACTTTCCTTTGTTGTAATTGACTGTTAGAATATTCATTCTCTAAAATTTGGTATAGTTAAGTTCAAGTGAAGACACGCTACTAATCGAAATCAAACACTTTATATATATTATATCATACACATAAAGTATATTTTTTTTAATTTATTCACTGCTTAAGATAATTCAAAAGGTTATAAAAAGGTAAAGGTATTCTAAAATTCGATATTCATACGATATATATACATCGTAAATTTTTTTATACAAAATTTTTTAATTGAGTTATGACGAGCTTTAAAACAAACCATTCAATATTAATTGATTAGATATTATTCCTAGAATATGAGGAGAGCATAAAGAGTACACAAAGTGCTACAATGTTTAACTAATTTGAAAGATAAACATTTTAAGAACGACTTGCTTAGCAAGCAGTAAAGTTTCTAATTACTAACTTCACTTGTCAAACGTTTCCCATTAGACTGAGTTAGACTGAGTAAGACTGACTTTGTAAACAAATATGAAGAAGCTTTGAAGCTGTTTAAAATGTAGTCAATAAATTTAGTAAACAATTAATTATTCTATTGAACTCAGATGAACTTTATCTTAAATGAAATGCTTCATCGTGTGTGTATCTCAATGGTTGTATATTTGAGAGTGCACATCTTTTAGTTTGTTTGCATATTTTATACAATTTTAATGAAAATCGATTTTTAATAAACACTACTTCTTCCAATGCCAGGATGCTTTTAAGTGGTTCATGAATTTGACTTGCTAATGAATATATAGTTGTTGTTGCTGCAATTTTATTAGGATTTCATTGATAGTGATGTTTCACTGGTTTTATAATCAGAAAATTTAATTTAATTGATTTAAATAGATGCAAAACGAAAACATTCCTAATTGTTTAAATTGTGAAAGTATTAGTAATGTATTCAAATGAATTTAAACTGAAATAATTATTGCAAAAAAAATTTAGTTAGTCTTATTTAATGTCGTATTTCTTCAATAATAACTAAACAAATTTATGAGATATTAGAAATTTAAATTTGATATGCAAAATATTTTATTGAAATTCAAATTGAATTTATTTTCTCTTAATATTTCTGTAACAGCAAAGCTTAAGTTCAACGTTAGCTTAATAGATCAATAATTAATTTCACTTACAAGTTATTATATGCAAAGGACTTATATATCATTATTGAATAATTTCATTATTGAAATATCAGGAATTATGAGTACGTTCGCAATCTATTATAGGATTTAATAAATTAATTTCAATTTTGCACGATTAATTGGTATATCAAATAATTTATATTATAATGAAAATAGTTAAGCCCAACAAACAGTACTGATTAAAATTATGAACAACTTTATAACAACATTTGTGGATATTAGACGTATGTATAGTACTAATTTTATCTATGTCCTTAAATCTTGGAAATCATTTCATATATATATGTTGAAACATTCTCATTGTAAAAAACTCTTTTTGAAGTAGTAAACCCAATCAATTCATTGACTGACATTTGCTTGTTGAAATTTTGACTTTTAATTTAATTAATTAATGAAATTTCGGATTGATTGATAGCTTTAAGATATGTCATTTTTGCATAACATGAATTTCGTTGAAGTAATATATTTGCTTTTAATATTATAAATAAATGTTCATCCATTACCAAAGTACATTTAATTCTATGCAATATTTTATAAATTTTTTCGTCCACTACAATTTGTATTCAAATGTCTAATTATTAAATGCATAGCTAAATATTTAATGCATATATCTATCCATACATAGGTATATATATATATATATACTAACCACTATCATTTTGCATATAGACAATTATATATCGTATGTAGGTGAAAGCATCTGAATGTTTTGATGCAATCTTGTTTACATGCCATAATTTAATGCGTTTATGCGTTCGTTGCCTGTTAATGCACAGTTGGAATTGCATTTCAGTACAAATTTGCATGTACCGCATTCATCTCTGAATGAATAATTCCATAGGCATTCATTACGTATGGAAACGCATAATTTAAGTGCTTGCATGTTCTATTGTGGTTAAAATGTTTAATTGCATACATTTAGGATAGCTCCAAATACACGCACACATCCTTGTTTCTGTAGTTGTGTAGTACAGTGCTTTTACGCATTGTTTACACACACAAATGCGTCTAAACAACATGAATAATTTATATGCTCATTTGCTTTATGAGCAAATGCAAATTAGCGCAAAATACCTCATAAAGTTGAAGGAAAATTCGTGCAATATCGAATCTTTTTATTCTTTGTAGTAGAGAAATGCAAAAATGATAAAAATTATCATATAATGTGAAATTTTTATAGTAAACATAACTATGAATATGATATAAAGGATATTAGAGAATATTATCATAGACATACTAAATATTTATAATTATTTTTCATCGAAATAATGTTAGTAATAATGTTAACTTTATTTGAGAATTTAACAAATAGTAGATAATGGTAAGTTTTTAAGTACTCTACATAAAAATTTGATGAAATGGATTTGGTCCAGTATGATCATAACACCAACAGGATATTGGCAAAATGCCACTCACATGTCCAATATATAGTATATTATATCCAGTATATATTAATATAATACACAATAAACTAATATATCTAACATTCAATATATTTTGTACGAAGTATTTCCTTACGAGTAAGTTAATTAGTTGAACTCCAAATTAAGTAGTTGACTAAGTAGTTGATTGATTAAGTGTACTAAGTAGTTGATTTTAGAGAAACCCGTCTCTACTTAAAAGATCTGTATTTAAAACTAGCCCAGTTGAAAGGTCTCAACTTAAAAGGTCTCTACTTAAAACGTGTTTTCTTGAAAGTTCTCTACTTAAAAGCACTCTACTTAGTTGATTTTAATATTTAGATTAACATAAGTCCGTCATGATTTGTTCTGAAACTATAATGCAAAGATATTGCATTTTCGACCATTTATGCGTATGTTGTTGTGTTCCTATGTGAATCATATTGTGAAAATAGCTAACGATATTCTCCATTAGATAATTTGTATCTTTAAGTTAGGGCACCACTTTCTTCTTTGAGTCATGCTCAGCTTTCCTGAAACATTGTCATTCCATGTTTATATTTAGCATATTACTATTTAATCTTTTAAGAGTGTGTCCGATACCAACTCATTTTTTTCAAGTATTTTTTTGTAAATCTAATTTAGAGTCTCCAACTGCAAATATAACTATAAGATATTCTTTCAGGCCACCAAAGGTGTTCAATGGCTGTACTACATCCAAAATTAGCAGAATTTCATTTCCACAAAATGAGATTGAAATTTAACAAATAAAAACAACTATAATTATTTAATTCAGTTATGCTACAGCTGGTTTATAATTTCGTTCTAATAGAAACACAGCAAGTGTTTTATTTGTTAATGAAACTTTCACAGCAAATTAACAAAAACTCCAGAAAAATGTACGAATATAAAAGTGAAGTATGTTTTTGGGTTAGTTAGTTAAGGGACGTTGACTTTGAGCAGGGCACGAGTTTAACTCTTACTACTTGCAGTCTCAAAATATTATTTACAAATAATAAAATACAAGATTTATTTCCGAGACCCATCATCAGGGGTATTTGGCAATACACGAAACAGCTGTATGGCCAGCCAAAATTTTAATTAATTAAAATAAAATTGAAAAAAGGTCACTTCCGTCATAAAAATGACGTTAAATTACAACTTATATTAACAAAATATTGATCTCACTCGTAGACCATGATTTATATAAAGTAAATTAGTTTACGAACTTTCACAACTAATCAACAGAACCCCAAACTACAATATATACTCAAATATTCAACTACGGCTTTGGGTCAGTTGGTTAAGCGGCGCTGACTCTGAGCTGCAAATTTGGCAGGGCCGAGTTGCCTCTTGCAGTCTGAAGAAATTATTTGCAAACAATTTAATATAAAAAATAGTTCCAAAAAAATTGCTATTGATAAGTATTTGGCAATACTCGAAACAGCTGTCTGGTCAGCCAAAACCTCATTTAAATCAAAATAATGAAATTTTGTTATTATAATTCACTACTGTTCAAAAACTAGAGAGATTTTAAATACAATTTCTAGAGAGATTTAAAGTAATTTCTTTGGTAATATGAATTTTAGAAAATATTTATTATATTGATTTTTAAAGTTCGTTATGACGAAAGTAACTAAATTCTTGATATTGTCTTTAAACTTTAAACCTTTTATTTGTTTTCAATAGAATATTATTTCAAGCCTCTCGAAAATATTGAAGGAAAATCATTTTGGAAATTATAAATTTATAAAAAAACTGTTTTAATTTATCAAGTAGCCCTCGTCATTATTTTGATTGCATATGTCATTGCTGACGATTTATTTTAAGAAAGGGAAATTGCCTCCATGCACTTGTTGTAAATTAAAATTCATTTTATTATATGAAGCCCACACATGTCAATAATTATTTTTGAATAATTTAAAAATATAATAAACAAAATGAGTTTTGTGTATTAACACAATTTTGTGTAACTACTATTTTGTTAGTACAATAGCAGTGTGTAAGAGCAATAAATTCACACTCAATTGAAACCAAAAGCTGACACAGTGGCTTGATCGAAACGAGTGAAACATCCAAAAATGGTAATGAAAACAAACAGCCGATGAGCTCAATTCATTGACTAATTGACATGAATCACCCACATAGAAATTGGTCAGCAGCGAAAAAGTGCGGCTAACAACAAAAACAAGTTTCTTAACAGTTAGCAAAAGGCACTCAAAGCTAAGAACTGCAAACTCAAACTCGTGACAATTCGACTCGCAGCGGTTGATAGGCGGTTATTTAGTACGTGCGGTAAATTGAGTTGTTTCGTTCGAAGCCAGTTTTAAGCATTACGTATCTCGTCGTAGCTGTTATATCTTTTATCTAAGCGCTACAAATTCATTCATAGTTTAATTGTGTGCCGAACGTACGCCTACACGGTAGAGTGGGTCGAATTAGAATTCAATTAAATCAAGTCAAAGTCAAAACGCCTCGCTGCTTGGCATATCCGACTTAAAAAAATATACAATTTTCATGTGGCAACACAATTGAATTGAAATTGTCTAGCGAACTAATAAAAAAATTATTATATCTTTGGTTTCGATTTAGTTAAAGATCAGCCAGCTACGCGCACAGACGTGAATGTTCCAAATAAGTAACGCACACCGGAGTGTTTCATATGAGTTCTGTTGTATACAACACAAAAAAAAAAAATAATTCGATTCGATATTAAATACACAAGATACACGTGAAGAAAACTAAGAAAGAATAATTTCGTTATTTTTAGAAAATGAACCACAGCAGTGCTTAAGCACATTTCACTGTAGTGAATCGGTTTATCGGTTTCGGCGTTTATTTTGATGCGCTCGCAGTCGTCATATAAAGATAAAGTTTCTTTGCATAAATTTCCTCAAAATATTCTAAATACTATACCGAAAAAAATTTACTTAAAAATAGCTAATTATGCCAAAATTTAGTTTCATATAAAAAACATACTAAAAAAACAACAAAAAGAAGTATATAATATAAATAAAAATATTTAAAACGATTTTTTATAAAGAGTATTTATTTAAAAAAAAATTGTTGAGATATTCATATGAGGAAGTGCAGTGAATAGGTAAATAATTTCTATCTTTATATATATGTATACATATACATATATAAGTGGTATGATAGTAAACTAAAACAAAAATATTTTAAAAATTATTTATAACAAAAGACCACTAGAATGTTCCAATAAATTTAAAATTAATAAAGGAATTCTTAAGATTTTTTAGAAAATTTTAAAATTTATTATCATGCAGTAAAATTTTTTTATATGCTAAATAATGTATATTAACTATAAAAATGACAATTATAAAATGTATTTATAATTCAATAAATAAACTATTAAATAAAACTAAATAAACTAACTCTTATAAACAGTTTCTGTTGCTTTTTTAAAAAAGATTGATCTCTCAAAGAACTTTACAAAAACTTAAGCAAAAAAAGTCGATTTCTACTTCTAAATTTAAGTAAATAAAAATTATTTGTAATGGATTTAACGTTTAAACTTAACAAAAAATTAAAAAAAGTTGAAATTTTTGCTTTGAAAATTATATCATGCAATTTATTTAAGTGCGACCTTATGTTCAAACTTAAAAAAAATAGGAAATGTTGATTTTTTTTATTGAAAATAATTTATTTAAATAAGAATTTAATTTCTAACTTAAACATAAAACTAAAAACCATCAATATTTACTTTCAAGTTTATATCAAAAAATTTATTTAATTAGATTTTAAATTTTATATACTCTCCACTGCACGAAAGAAGTATTTATTTGTTGTCTCCTTCCAAGCATGCAATTTTTATTGCTTTAATATATTTAAAACAGTGAGATACATTCATTGATCAGACACATTATTATTTACTTGATTTTTAAAAAAAGTTTCCTCAAGAATTTATTTCAATCAAATAGCGAAAATAAAAAATTGAATATAATATATTAGCTGCCACCAACAGCAAGACTTTAAGATATAAAAAACCTACTTAATGTACTGAGAAATTTTTTCACAAGCCAAGTAGGAGACGACTTTATCTAAATCAATGCTAGATTTCACATTGCCGTATCTTGATTTTCCTTGTTAACGTGATCGCAAGTAGTTTACACCAAATCGGCGCAGACAGAACTGCAGACAGACAGATACGGTTCAATTAATGCATGTCTTAATGCTAACACAACTGTCTATATAAAATATAAAAAATCATAAAAAAAAAATAAAGAAAAATAAAGAAAAACTTGCTAAATCCTAAAACGGCAATTAACTACCAAATTTGTACTAAAATATTAGGATTTGTATGTCAAGCACAGCAATTTTTAATAATTTTTCAATTTTTCATTTATTTCATATGAAAACAAAGCAAACTAAATAATGTTGCTTTAAAGCAAAAGTAAAAAAAAAGTTTATGTTACTCAGAAAAAGTATATCATGATGTGCTAAATTTATTTTTAAACTACACGCCACCAGCACGAGACTAGACAACGTGCAACAATACAAAAACAACGACAGAAACTTTGAGATACATTTGTGCCACCACAGAGTTCTTACATATTTTAATTTTTTTTCTTTTGAATAAAAAAAAAGTATGACAAACAGAAGGCCATAAATAATATATCCCATTTTCCATATTAAGTATAACAAGTAATACCTCAGAGATACGCATTATGGCTTCAAGATATGTGCTACTAAAATGATTATCTTCTGTCTACACAAAGATTTACTGTATACCTCAAATAAATTGCCCAAGGCACTTAGGCTTAGATCAACCTAAAATCTCATCTAAATCTTAAATAAATAAGCTAAGTAAACATAGTTAAGTGTGTTTAAACTAACATAATATATAACCTATAATTAAATTTTGACATTTTTAAAAAACTAACATAACAAAAATAAAACAATAGAGTCGTCTATCAACGAAAACTTTTAGATTTTAGTGGCGAATAGTTTTGTCTGAGGTAGAAAAAAAATAATTTAAAAATGAATTTCATTAAAATTTTTATAAAAAATCAACAAGCCTAGCATAGCATTAAAAAAAATCACTATAACAACAGCAATAAAAATTCTAAATCCATTATAAAAGTGACAGCTAATTTTAATATAAATAAGGAAACTTATGAGGTCCACAAATAAAACAAAAATAGTAATTACTTCCGTATTCATAAACATCACTTAAACGCATTTTATTCTATTATATTTAATAAAACGAAAAACGAAATTGCTTTTTCTAATGTTTATAAGTTATAAGTAAACTTTATAGTAAGCATACTACCAATCTATATGCGTATCACCAATTAACTCCACCGTTTCGTAATGTCCTTCTTTTTCTTTCTATTGAAAGATATTGAGAGGTATCAATCCAACAAAACACATTGAACATTTTATATTGCCCTCATAACTTTTTGATTTCAAAAACTAATGATCTAGAATGTTTTTAATCTTAGGATTAACTAATGTACTCGTATATGCAGATAAAATACTTTTAAAACCTTAATTCAGAAATTCTCAAATAATGTCTAAATAGATTAAAAAAAATCAGCTGAAAAAATTGAACTGAATATAAATATCGTAATTAATCCAAAATAATTTGAAACGGATCCAAAGAAATTAACACGAATACAAATTAAGTGAAATGCTTAGTTTTACGAACTTAAGTGTGTTTACAGAAAATGAGCACATCATGGACGCTGTAAGAAAAGAGAATAGTATCCAATCGTCTATATCGTCTATAGAGAATGTATTACAAAATTGGATTATACAAAACAATCCTAACCCTAGTAGTTCCGAAGAAGATATCTGAATATAAGATAAGCCTTTTTGAAAATAAAGTTTGAAAAAAATATATCACATAATAAAAATCATTAACCTTAACCAGCAATAGTAGGACAAAAAACACTGCTTGACTTTAATAAATAATAGACTTTAATAATAAATTCACTTCTGTTTGAACTCGCATTTAAATTATGGTTCTTGAACAAAATTTAAATGCGAGATCAAAATCTCTGTTTCTGAATACAAACTATTTTAAAATACGATCTATAAAAAAGTATCCTGTATTTAAAAGTTGAAGAATACGCATAGAAAGAATTCCACATAATTTCCTCCAGAGTTAATAACACTATAATATGATATCCCGCGTCTATTACCCACTCTATTAATTCAATAGAATTGAACAACGTAGTACTGTATTAACCCAGCTTGGCTCCATATGACTTTTTTCTGATCCCACTTCAAAAATCAAAGGGGTTGATTGAATCTATTAAGAAAAATTCGATGTAAGAATTAAAGGCGGAGAATTAGGTCAACCATTGGGATAGTTATTATGCAGTCAATAGTCTCTGTTTTGAAAGCGACGGAATATTATTTTATATTTTTGAGAACCAACAAGAATCAGCTAATGTTTTACAGAATATAGAAAAATTTATCCGATCTAATAGCTTATGACTTCCCATTTTCACAAAAATAAAAACAAAGCAATATTATAGGTATAGCATCAGTTTAACGAGTTACCGAATTTTCAAACACGTATAAAAGGCCCTTCAACTAATAGATTTATATGGTAAATATATAAGGTATATTAAATAATACCTCTACAAAAGATTTACAATTAAATTGATTTAACTAATTGAAATTTAACAATTAAAATAATTATAAATAATTAATTCAATTATTCTACAGCTGGTTTAGGATTTTAACTCTTGATTTAACTAACTCTTGAATAATTAAATATAAGAAATAATTCCAAGACCATAGGTATGGCAATGTTCAAAATAGCAGTATAGTCAACCAAAAATTTAATTAATTAAAAATAATAAAAGATTTTTGTTGTTGCAATTCACTACGCACTTTTATTTGTTGCGCACTTTTACTCTTTTGTGGCTGGGGGGCTTATACCTGCCACACACTAAGCTTAAACTATACTAGAATTATTATCATTTATTTATCTTTTAACTGATGACGGACCGTAGATCAGCATATCTTCCTCTGCGTACTGAAGTGGACTTAAGGTTTGTTAGGGTGGGGTTGGGCAGTGTATCAACTTTTGTGAATAATTTTAGTGCTCTATCCTTGATATATTTTTTTACTGAGTCGATCCTTAAATCGTCATAACGGATATGAAAAAGCAATTTCATATAGAAAATATATTACAAAATGTTTTCATGTATTAACAACTATCTGATCAATTAGTTAGGTTAGGTTGGATTGGCGGCTTGGTTCTCAAAGTGCAGTTAAGTATAGTTATGGTCTGTTGTGATACCATCTATTAAAGTTGTAAAAATATCAGATAGTCAGGACCACCAGTCAGGAGCGCACAGACAATGTTGAAAAAGTTACGACTGTTTCATATACCATAAGTTCAAATAAAACAACCTGATAGATCTACAAATCTTGTTATATACCTAATTTTAAAAGAACTGACAGTTGGGTAAGAAAAGAAGACCAAAGACCTTCAATCATCTACTGGTGAAATTTGTTGGGATTAAAGCAGTTGAAGACTTCTTTTTAACATTGGCAATGTGCTTTATCATTGATTTCTCAAAAAATTATGCCAATGCTATTAGGCACTAACGCTACTATTCTAACCTATATCGCTGCTTAAATGATATATAATTATAACTTTCTTAAATTAGCATTAATAATTGCAATACTAATATAATTTTTTAATGTTTACTTATTTCGTCAAAAAAAATATTTATTTTTTGTTATTTTTACACAAAACTAGGCAACTTTAGTTCATTATTTAACTTAACAAAATTATCTCTTTATTCGCCTAAGATGATTACAGAAAAAAATAAATGTCATTTGCATGCGATTTTCTAGTTAAAAAGATCTAACATGTCATAACATTTAATCTATGTCTCATGAGCTAAAAATATTTCCTAACAAAAATATCAATGACAATAATTCGAATATTTGAAAAGATATTTTTTATTGTTATAGTTCTCAATAAACAACAAAGTCTTGCAAATGATCTCAAACATATTTTTATCACGATTAACGCTATTATCTATGGTTTTTTTATCCATTGAAATGGCGTCATACATCTTTTAATTGGCCATAATGTGGTTATAAAAAGAT